TCCTTGCTCACCACTATGAAAGTAAGGCATTTTATTCGCCTTGCTTTTTCTAACATGTGCGTTCTGTGATGTTTCCAACACGCCAGTGTGTCAAAATATTTGTGTGATTAATGCTACGAAAGCTTGAAACACTCTGTAGACAAAATATATGCGAACATGAAGCTCTTATCCGGTGAATTCAACGAAACTTTATATAATGACCTTTATTTATCCCCTATTGCGTCTACCACAGCGGCTTTTTTCGAGGCGCACTTTGGCTTTGGAACGGGGAGTATCACATGATCCATGAGACGCACAGGCTCAAACTTCAACCAACCAACTTGCTCTTCAACCAACCAACTTGCAACTAACAGGCTCTTGCTCACTAGGCCAATCACATTCTTGTATTCGCACCAATGGAGTTGCACACGGTGGTTGTCATGGCGACGGTGCTCGCGACTGCAGGGAAGAAGCCAGAAGAAGCGGTCTGAAGCGTTCTGTCGTGTTGTTAACAAGCGTCGACAGCGTAATTTGCATTAAAAAATTATTCAAATTGATATATTTATGTCTTGACGGTGTTGCAGTGACACCAGCCAGTGCTATTATGATATTAGATGGTCCTGAATTTGCACTAGGGCGTGTTTAAAATGTGCCTAAAGGCGTGACACTCGATTTCAAAAGAGTGTTCCACATTTTTATGGGGTTTTGAATTGAGAAAAGCCATCTTGAAAATCAATCGGTGCAGTTCACAGCCCTGCCCTTCTTCAGACCTAAACCACTCTATTTTCTGAGCTGTACGTCTAGGAGGATTTTGTATTCTGTATTTATTTGCTTGGCAACCATCCCCGAGGCCCCTTTTCAGGGTTCGGCTCGTTACAACATTCGCTGGCTTTGGCTTGTAACAACACTCACCTGGTTACGACACATTACAAAAAATGCTTTAAAAAGCGGTGCTACGAAATATGCTATTAAATACGATGCTACGAACTAGGCTATGACAAATGCACAAATGAATGCATCAGCAACAAGGAGCTCCCGTAAACGTAACCAGCTGGGTCAACTGTTCTGTTCAGACTATTTTGAGGAGGCTTGTTTAATGTCACCCAGGCATCCATGACGCCACAATAACGTCATTCAAATCCTGACATTCCACTAACCATGCGGCGACCAAGGCCAAGAAAAATACAGTTGTCAAATCGTTCATATCTGGCGTTCGTAAACACGATTTCCAAATATAACGGAGGTCAGTTGGCTCTCAATCACTGCTATGCAAGGTACCACGACGTAATCAAACGATGACAAATTTACGAAGATATTTACTAAACAGAGAAACTAGGTTGTTTAGAGCAATCTTTTCCACTTAAAAGTATGCCATCCTTAAAAATGAGCACAATTCATAATATCTGATGCTTACCCTAAAATCTTGAAATGTGGAACATTTCCTTGAACAAATGCAGGATTCACATCACGCAGACATGACAGCCGCATTCGTCCGCCGATGCCTCAAGCTCCTCAAGTGTGGAGTTGAGCAACGCCGAGTTAAGTAGCGCAGAGTGAAGCAGCGCCGAGGTGGAAGCGTTACCCAATGTGGCCCAAGGCTAACCAGCGTTCTGCAATGCTGAACGGGTGTCTGGTGTTGCTGGACGCGGCGGGAAGACGGCTTGGCCTAGTGGCGATGGGGACATCGTCGGTGACGAAACATGGGCCGAGGGCGTCGGTGCGATTGCACGCACCCGCCGCTGCAGACCGGCCTACGGGTTAACCGGCAAATCGCCTAACTCATCTCGGCCCCGAGCGGCTCTCGGCCGCTACTCAGGTGGGAGGGGCGGCTGCGATGTCGACCCCCGCCCCACTCTCACTTTCCCAAGCGACAGCGCCCTCGGGTCCGAGCGCGCGCCACCGTGCACGACTCTTCCGCAAGGCGGTGTGGCGGTGGGCCTGCGTGACCCCTCCCCAGCGTCTGCTCGACGTCGGTCGATCGCCCTGACCTCGGCCGATCTAGAGGGCGGGTCAGCCACGACGGGGCGCCAAGCAGGCGTCATCCCCGCCGGTCGGCGCGGCCGTCGCCAGGCGGACGCGCCGACGGCTGCAGCGCCACCAGCGCCGGGCGTGCGGTGCCCCGGGCGCCGGGCTACCATGCAGGCCGGGGACAGTCTGCAGCGCTGGTATTGGTGCATTACGAATGGCTGTGAGTAAAATAGTTACGGCGTCATGGCTCACCGCTCCGTAACACGGCTGTTATACGGCGTCATGGCTCACCGCTCCGTAACACGGCTGTAATACGACGTCATGGCTCACCACTCTGTAACACGGCTGTAATTTGCGTCGCAAGAGTGCTGCTCTGACCTCACGTCTTTGCCATCTGACCAGACGTTTGAAGCGCATGAATGCGATCGCGTCATCAGCAAAACGAGGTCGTTGCCACAGTGAAGCAATATTTCATACACCGCCTTTATGGCATGCGTGGCGGGTAAAGATCTTCCGCGATATTCCTTTGGCGCTGATTCTTACGTCAACCCCACCAGACAAGGTAAAGCAGGGCCGCAGGTCTAGCGCTTAGTCACACAATCTAACAGATCAATAAAATACTGGCATTGACATTCATCTGCGGGTCGAAAATTGTCGTTGCCCGACGGCTTGTTTCCCGACGGTTGCCTGACGGCCCGACGGCTGCTTTCAATGCAATGCACACAATGCTGCACGTCAGGGGAGATACTGGCGCCCCAGCAGCACAGAGGAAAAGATACCGTCCTATCACCGCACAGAGGGAAGACCGTGTCGTGTGCAGAGAGGGGATGACGTCACGCAGAGGGAGAAATGTCACTGTGTCAGTCGCTTTGGAGAGCGCATAACGCAGCGCAGCAAACGAAGCCGGCGCAGGCGCCCTCCCCCCTCCCCCCTGAGCCGGGCCACTCTACTGAGGGAAGGATATGGCTGCGTCAGCAGCATAGAAGACCCGATGCTGCCATGGCAACCGCATGGAAATGGATCTTCTCGCCTTGTCAGCAGAAGAGTGCGAGAAGTGGCGAAAAGAGCCCTGTGTGAATCGCAAAGACTGTGAGACCGTGTCATCAGTTTGTCGTTTGCTATCAGGCATAATACTGACCTCGCCCAGTAAGGGATATATTGCCCAACGCGTCAAACTTGGTCGTGTGGAATTTTTCGAAACGTGCCGAGTTGTCCGCTGGTTTGCTCCGTTCCGTAATTCTAGCTTTGTGGCAATTGCCCGCGGCTGTGAGCGGTTTTGCCACCACCTTGTGGCAGAACAAGGTTAAACATGCCTCGCTTAACTAGGTAAGCTTTGAATGGGCCGTCACGATCTGTAGGCGGTTTAGCCTCCGCTTCGATGCAGTCGTAAAGGCCAACATGTCATTGCTGATGCTAGTGATCTCACGCTGCCCAGTGTGCTAGGCTGAGAACCCCAGTGTGCAAGGCTGAGAACCTTGGGCCCGTCTTGCCTCTCCTCGGCACGTGTGGCCGTTTTGACACACAGCTGTATGTCTCACAAGCCATCAAAACGGCATTTCGTAGCCAGCTGCAACGATAAACTTCGCGAGACGTTGCCTGCGCGCGCTGACTCTTCCTATCGACTTGTTTGCGCGTTGTCCTGACAACGCGCACAGACAATGGCTGTGGTCTACAGAGGCCGTTTGGCGGTGACCGGTCGGCTGGACCCCTGAGGTGGGCCCCTGGGTAGACAGCTGGGTATGTCTTTTCGCCCGGGCGGGGGGGAGGGGGAGGACGGGGAATGCAAATGAGACGCATCCAGACGGCAAGGGCACGTCCGCTGCCTGATCAAGGCCGGATGCATAAATGTATGGAATTTTTGGAGGTACTTACAGTGTAACGGACTCTGCACTCGATTTCATCTGATACATGCACAGTGCACTGGTGCAGCCAGGGGTTGGGCGTTGAAGGGCAATCATCCGGACTGCGCCAATGGAGGATTGCGAGTACTTTTGCAGAAGTTGCGGGAGGACCGCTCGTTTGCATGACTCCGCTAGAGATGTATTTGAGCAAGGGATCAATTGCACTCGACCAGGAAAGAACCGAAGCCGGTGCTTAGTAGGAAGTGGACGCCTAGAGTAGACGATGTTGTCACCCTGGATCCCCAGCAGGATCCCTGGATCCTGCCGGGTAACGTCAGCTGCTCGTATTCGAAAGCACGTTTGTTATTAGAAGGGGTCCCTCGGTGTTTGAAATGACATAGCTGCGCTTCAGTAAAGACCCAATGGAATAGTTCAGGAAACAAGATCAACAAACATGTGAGGTGTAAAAGACCGAGAGGATTCGAGAGGAAAAGGCAACACGAAGTTAACAATGGCTGAATGCATAAACTAACAGCTTATGTTGTGGCTGCAGATCCCGAATGGCTCAGAATCCTCAATGCGAAATCCAGCTTAACATGTATGCGTTGAAGATGATTTATTTCGCACCCAAGAGGGCCTGGTTCTCTTCCCCGGCTCTGGGGATAGGTCTCCCCTAATGGTGCATTGAAGTGAAACATGTGAACGCACACACCCGCAAAAGCCACTGCATTGTCACATGGCTCCGCGTTACATATGCCCTACATATGGGGAAAGAACGCTTTTTGTTCGTGTGTGGGCAAACAGCCGCAGTGACAGCTGGGAGCTGCTGATTAACGCCCGTTAGTGGTACGCCCCGTGGTGTGTCTGATTCCGGTGCCGTGGCGTGTGTGTTTGTCCGTATGCTGTCTTCAGCCACTGCTTAAGTGTGTTCTGGTATTGCTTCGCCTGAAGCTGTCTTGACCCTTTTCTCTCCAGCAATCACTGTAGAACTGACACCTAGTTTCCTTGCCAGTTAACCAAGAGCCGAACGGGGCGCCGTTTTCGATCGACACGATCCTCTTTGCTCTTCGTCGCCAGCGTGGCCTTGTATGGCAGCAGCGACAGTGGCAGCCCTCCCTTTCACACCGTCCCCCGGCGCTACCACCTTCCCCAGCTGTGACCCGGAAGCGCTGCACCGTGCTGATGCACTCTCTCTCTCTCTCTCTCCGGCAGAGTCGGCAGCCATGGTGGGTCTGGTGAAAACGATCGTCGATGGCTACAACCACATCATGGTGGACTTGCGAGGTGAGTGCGCACCTGCCCGCGGTTGCTGCGGTTGGGTCGGTGGCTATGTCAAGGCGTTCCGTAACCGCCCACCTCACAGCTGCCGGCCCCCCAACCAGCTGGCGGGCACGGAGCGAAGTCAACGTTCGCCGATTGGCCGGCGCTGGCTGTCGGGCAGATCAACGTTCGCCGATTGACCGGCCGCCAGCGCTTGCCGTGCGCCCGGCACCACTCGTCACACCGGGTGAATGCTGAGTGGGTCAGCTGGTAGTTCTGGGAGTCGGTGTTGAGGCGCGCGCCGCCATCCACTGTCAGCGCACCACCGTGGCCACCGGGTCTGGCTTGCATTCGGAGATTGACGTACGTTCACAAGCAGGCGATGCACTTTTCGAAGAGATCGGACGACGTCTTGCACCACTCGGCTCTTGCAAGAGCCACGCCCATACACAACATTGTGCAATCTAATCTGACGTTTGCGTAAGGAACGCGGATGTACTGACCGGTGTCTGGGGCACCGTAGTTAAGGTCTTGTAGTCCCGTTAAAGGGAACATTTTATGTTTAATATATGGAATGAACAATGAACAGTGAAGATGCATCAGACACGATGACACAAGTTTACTTGAAACTTTTAAGAGCTTTTTAAGTGGAAAACACTGCTGTAGACGATAAATTCTCTGTTTAGTAAAGATGCTCCTCAATATGTCATTGTTTGATTACGTCGCCGCACCCTGCACAACATTGATTGAGAGCCAGTTGCCGGCCGTTGTATATGAAAATGGTGCTTACGAACACCAGATATCAACGCCTCGACTATAAGGTTGTTTTAAGCCTTGGCCGCTGCATGGCGTGTGGAATTGCCGGACAGTGATGACGTTTTTACGATGTATTAAATGTTAAGATGACTCTAAATACCCCCCTCCTCTGAAATGCTCTTCCCCTTTTCGCTCGCGGGCGTGTAGCTCAGATACTAGAGGGTGTTAGGTCTTAGGGCAGGGTTATGGACAGCACTGAAAGGGTTTAAAGAAGCCTATTTCAGCTCAAACCCCGATAAAATGTGTAACACTCCCTCTAATGTTGGCTGGGGATGGCTACGGCCTGCTTGCGCTTACTTTCTAAGGTAGGAGGCGTGGCTTGTTAGTGGGCTGGTCTTGGACCCCCTCCCAGAGAGGCGTGTCCTCGCACTTTCCCCGGGGTTCGTCTCGAATTCCTTTTAGGAAGGGTGTACGGCGCTGGACACGGGCACACAGCGTGATATTGTCAAACAGCTGTATACGATAACATGATGTGTGATAATATGACAATACATGTGTAGATACAACACTAATGTGATGCAAAACGTAACAGGGTACTTAATATCGATATGATGCATAACAACAATTACGTCAAGGCTGCATATGAGTAGATTTCAAAAAAAAAATCAGAAAGTGCCAGTGTCACTACCACCTGGAGCAAATTGATTTCGGTTGCAGACCATTTATTGTCTCATTGTTTGTGGTAAGCAACGTTGCAGGATAAGTGCATATTATGATGCATTGTGTTGTAACTTTGTTATCGAGAGCTTCAGAGGTATGCGTCCTTGGGTCGCTATGTATGTAAGGTTCATATCAAACACAGAAGGCGAGCGCGTAAAGCCAGCAGTGGCGGCTCTTTTCCTCCGAAAAACGATCTTCTGCGCAACCTGATGTCGAACAGTATGTTGGCTTGCTGAGTCCGTCATTTTGAAAGCACGTTGGCCAATGGGTGCGAAGGTGACAAGCCATGTACAGCGCCACTCCCCACATCCTCCTGTGGTCACCGTCCGGCATCCCAGTGCTTGTCGTATGACCGCTCCTCCGGATTCCCGCGGGATTGCGGCGGCCGGAATACAGCCAGCACGGCGCCGGTGACCTGTCAACGCTGTCAGCCACCTCTACCGTCAGGCCACCGTCGGCTATCGCTGGCACCGGTGATCTGCCACCGCTGTCAGCCACCTTTACCGTCAGGCCACCGTCGGCTATCGGTGGCACCGGTGATCTGCCACCGCTGTCAGCCACCTTTACTGTCGGGCCACCATCGGCTATTGGTGGCGCTGGTGATCTGCCAACGCTGTCAGCCACCTCTACCGTCATGCCACCGTCTGCCACCCGTATTGTGCGTGCGTGTTGGTTTTGTACTGCGTGCGTTGCTATTTGTCCGCGTTTGTTTGCTTAGGCCTTATTAAAAGTGTGTTTTTTATTGTGGCCAGCAGAGTCAGAGCAGTCTTTTTGCTCACGTCTGTCACATGCTTAACAGGTCAGCTGACCTGGATCTTTGCAGTGACGTTTTGTCTTTGGCTGACTGTGTTTGAAGCACAGCCAATCTGATCGTGATGCTGTACATTTTGGCCCGTGTATCCTTACATCGACTGGTGGCCGTGCTTAAGAGTCGTGTCATGTCATGGCATTGGGGCTTTACGACGCACCCAGCTACTGAGGCTATATGGCGTCGCCTGCCTCTCACCCTGTCGGGAAGGGCGGGCACTGCGGGGAATCGAACCCCGTACCTCTGGTTTCCCAGACGCGCAGTGGTTAACACAGACGCGTTAACCACTTCACTTATGGCACCCCCGTTCTTAAGAGTCGATGTAACTTCTCACATAAACTAGGCGTGCATATTATGGGCGCTGTATCGGCGAATGAACGTACAAACAAGATGTCTGCCGACTTCGGACGTTTCGGTTGATGTCATGGCAGCTTGAGGTGACGGCGGGTAGGAACGGGAAGCTTCATCACCACCCTTGGCATGAGCCAGCCACACGGAGCCACTGGCCAAGCCCCCGCATAGTTTGTCGCCCCGCGGCGCAGACAAGCTGCGCGTGGCTGTTAGCAGTTGGGTCATGCTCTAGTCTATCCGAAGACTGGCGCAGTTTTTCCCATCCCTTTGAAAGGTTTGGTCCGGGCAGAGATGCTTGTCGAGGCCCTGCCTGCTTTATTTCGCATAGACACCGAGGGGCGAGGGGTGAATCTCGTTTGATCTGGTTCACGAGAGCGGGCAGCCCGGGGATCTAGGCTAAGCTGAGCCAAGGCAGTCCGTTACGCAAGATTCTGCGAGCTCGCTGCGAAAGTGGCAATATTTGGCTTGTTCGGGATCTGTTGGGACGGAGAAGCTCTGATCTCTCTTTGAATTAAACCTGCGGCTATTCCAGAGGAAATCAAATGATATAACTGTGTTAAGCTCTACCAATCCTCTTAGAAGTGAGTTTTATCCTTAGCTGTCCCTCGCCATTAGATTCAGTCGGACCTGACGCCAAAAATAAAAGTCAAGATGCCAATGAATAGAAATCTGCACGACGTGTAGAATATTATTGTTGGCTTACAGGAGCATCCAGAAATGTGCACTAGAATCCCTTCGGATCTGCAGTTTTCAGCTGAATGTACCATGAGCCGCTTACCAAATGCTATAAGCTGGCTTGAATTCTAGTTTGGGAGGTCTGGTCCGTGTTTTTGCGTCCACTACAGACTGAGGGCCAGAAGCGTATGCAGGACTTCGCGACTGGGAAGCACACCTATTAAATGCTCACTGAAAACCTAATTTAGCGCGTCGTAGGCGCGCGAAATCTCATGGGGTTGCGCTAGACAACATTTTATGTTCTTTATTCACTTATGTTTACATGCCCATATGGAATTTTTAAATCACATTTATTCACGCGCACATTAAGGCATTTAAGAAGTTCCATAAGGGTAGGGATACGTGCCGAAGGGCTGCTTTGCACATACTCCGCTGGCGTCGGCTTTGGGCGAATTGCTTTTCATCGTACCGACCGTGCAAAGCTCTTAGCTCTCGTAGCATACTTTTGCACGCTGTGATAATAATCCGGATCTGTGTCAGGCCCTGGGCGCGTAAGCAGGGACTCCGACAAATTCGGTTCTCCGCCGTTTGTGTCTCCGGAGGCCATTTCCTAGGCAGGTGTGCTTCTGACGTCGTTCACTGGCCGTCGACATGCTGTGCGTTTCGACGCCAGGAATTTGATTTATCTGCATTATGGGTGTTAGTATCTCAATATGTGTGCGTTGTGATCCATGGTGAGTGAAATGGTGACCATGGGTCTTGATATGCTTGTGGATATCTGGATGTTCTCCGAGATACCTTCTGTGCTTTCAAATCGATACATGAACAATGATCCAATGATCCCTTTGTCTTCAAAAATGATTTAACGTTATGACTGGTTGAAATTCCTCGTGGTGTAATACGCTGATCAGTTTCCTGCCGCAAAGAACTTGTTTAATCTGTCTTGTCGGAGACCCCTCGGTAGTATTTTTATACCTACGGCATTCCCCGTGTGGTCTTGCCTTCTGTGTCATCCTTCCCGGAGCACCGACAAGGGGTCACCGCGCGGCCTTGACATCGACCCCGGCGTTCTGGGGCTGACCGGCGGTGCAGGTGCGCGGTGCCGCCAGCCGGGCCCCGTGAGGAGCCGAGTGGGGTCAAGCCGCCCGGCCGCGGGTCGGCCGCTCCCGGGGGCCAACGTGCGGGGCTCATTGCTGACGTCCGTCGGCCTCTGGTGCTGACCACTGACCGCTGTCCGGCAGACCCGCGCATGGATGACTTCCCGCTGATGTCGTCGCCCTTCCCCGTGCTGGCCATCTGCCTGACGTACGTGTGGACCGTCTGCTGGCTCGGCCCGCGCTGGATGAAGAACCGGCCGCCCTACGACGTGCGCCGCCTCCTTGTTGTCTACAACGCCGCCCAAGTGATGCTCTCCCTGCTCCTGTTCTACAGGGTCAGTGGAGCCCGGACACACCCCCGGACGGGGAGGGGGAGGGGGCAGATGCGCTCTTCTTGTAACCGTGGTCTTGAGCAGCTGGAGATCTCCAGTGGTCGCGTTAGGCGACGGATAGTTTGTCGTTGTTTTTTTTTGCGCAATGCAATAATTCGTTCTGACTTGAGTGCTTTTCTCAGTGGGTTGTACCTTCCAAGACTGCTACATTCTGCACATGTAATTTTCTCAGCATATTTTCTGCCACGCCAATTTGACCCACAAGCCGACTACTTGCTTCCTTCCAAAGACCACGAAAGGCATACGTAAAGACGCGTCAGCTGATGGTGCGTGGAAAGCAAGCGCGCAACGTAGACAATGGGCGTGACCCCCCACGGCTGGTGATGAGTGTCGTGTCCGTCTCCGACGCCGCCGGCTGTGGAGGAGTGGCCTGACCCCCCGCGGCTGGTGATGAGTGTCGTGTCCGTCTCCGGCGCCGCCGGCTGTGGAGGAGTGGCCTGACTCCCCGCGGCTGGTGATGAGTGTCGTGTTCGTTTCTGGCGCCACCGGCTGTGGTGGAGTGGCCCGACTTCCCGTCTTGCCCGTGACGTGATGGGGCCCTGACGTCAGTGCCTCCCACCGTCAGATGCTGATGTCAGGATGGCTTTTCGAGTACAGCTTTCGCTGCCAGCCTGTGGACTACTCCAACGACCCCAAGGCCTTATACGTAAGTATGGTGGCCGGCGCCTGGATTTTGACGACCGTCAAGGACCCGTCTGGAGCTTTGTCTGAGAGGATCGTGGTGGACTTCCTGGACGCTAGGACTGGACCTGTGTGAGGTGCAGTGGTATTGTTGCTGTTACTTATCTGACCTCGAAGAAAACACGAATGGGGCGTAAACGTTGCGAAGTGACCGATCGTATCATCCAGTATTACATCTTGCATTTACTTTACGTACCATAAACGAACTGAGGACCATGTCTTGCTAGTACGAATAGTGCCACCGCTTGCGTGTTGTTCTTTACGTTTTTTTTTGTTCTTTGTTCTTTACGTTCTCACGTTTTGGCGGGTGATGACAGGCGACTGATGTTTTTTTGCAGGTGGTGACGGATACTTGATGTTTTGGCGGATGGTGACAGATACTTGATGTTTTGGCGGGTGGTGACAGGCGGGTGATGTTTTGGCGGGTGGTGACAGATACTTGATGTTTTGGCAGGTAGTGGCAGGCGGGTGATGTTTTGGCGGGTAGTAGCATACGACTTATGTTTGCACCACAATGTGATGTCCTATAATCATGCTGCTTTCAGATGGTGACTTCTTGCTGGATGTATTTTTTCTCGAAAATCCTTGAGTTCCCGGACACGGTAAGCGAACCAGAGGAGAAGATGGAATAAGGAAACATATGGCATTTGATACTCTTGTACCTTACTCGACGGGCCAAACATCACGTGTCTTCCGCACACCCTTGTGGCATAAATTGAGCCGTCTGGTAAGGCTTGTTCTCATGATCCAAAACCACCAGGCTTGATAAGTTTTTTTCGGAACCGCTGTTCTGCTAATGGCTTTAAACATTCGATCAGCATACGAGTTGATACTATTACACCTGATTATTTGATGTTGAATGCTACCACACGTGACTTTGAGTGGCAATGGATGATCTTCCAAGTTGAACGGAGGAGGCACGAATCCCTTTTTTGGCTATTTCCTTCCAGCCAACACCTAGGGATAATGCTCGATTTTCAAAAGTTTGTGAGAGGCTCAGTCCCTCGTGACTCCCGTCGTTTTTGGGCGGATGGTTGTATACGTCTAAATTAACGTATATGATTATGATAACGTTAGCACTTGATATTAGACTATGCATCATGACCTCATCATATCATACGTCATTCTGTTTAGCAAACAGCCAACCGGCTAGCCTCTCTGCATTTCCTCAGATAGTATAGACACATCTCTGGATATCTTAATCTTGAGCCCTTGGGTGTTTAGGTGCTCTTGTGAATGAAGTGCTGCTGAAGCTCTCGGAGCTCATTCGTCGAGGCTCTCCTCCATTTTACCTGCCACTTAGCATCATCTTTTTCCGTCACGGTTGGGAATTGGGAGACTAATATGCCAAGGACCGTAGGGGGGCGCGGCCGGTTGCCTGTCACTAACCTCAACAATCGGCTGAGCTGGCGCATGCGCAGATCGGCTCGCAGTATTTGCAGACACTCGGCCTGCGCCCGGATTGTGCTAAACCTCTACACATTTTTCTGAAGGCAGAGATAGCTAAAATTAAAGGCGCCGTCTGATGAAGAGCTTTGATGTTCACCTGAAACTTACACAATGCCTGCGTGTTTAAGCTGCGGCCATCGGCTTAGTGCATTCCGCCAGACAGCGCGTGCGATTTAGCGAGCAGCCAAATCTGGGTGCGTTTCGTCACTCTTGTCTTCGGCGCAGGGGCGGGATGGGTGTGGCTGAGTGCCATTCCAGCGGCGGGGAGGGGGGGGGGGGGGATGTCGGTGCCTGGTGTAGGTACTCGATAGGAATTCCCCACCGCATCCCCTGGATTTAGGGGATGTGGGGGGGGGGATTACGTGACCGACCGGTTTTATTGTCGTCAGATCTTCTTCGTGCTGCGGAAGAAGTTCGCGCACGTGTCGGTACTGCACGTGGTCCACCACGGCATCATGCCGTTCTCGGTGTGGTGGGGTGCCAAGTTTATACCAGGTAAGTTGTAACTCCTCACGTCTGACGAGCTTCCTCGAGCTTCCTCCTAAACTTCCCGAAAGGTGCAGGATTTGAGGTTTGCTCCCAAGCCTCGCCATTCGCTTTCTGCTCGCTGTACAGGCATCGTCTTCTATTGCTCCCGTCACGTAATCCTTCTGTCCTGCTTTAGTCGCTTCCCGGAACACTGCTCAGACGTCCTCACCAAGGCCACATGCTGCCGTCATACGTCCTCGCCACACTTTTCGCCCCATGAGAGGGAACGTGGCACCGCACGACAGCTGCCAGATAGTGGTATACTGGCCGCAGCCACAGCCGGAGGTTAGCTATCACACGATAAGGGTATCACCCGGCGCTGTTCACGCACGCACACATACACGAACACACACGCGCCGAGCCCGCTGCGCCGCTGCTGTTTACTCAGGCTCGCGCACGGCTCGGTCTCCCGCGCTCCGGTCCGGTCTGGGCGATGGTCGTTGCCAACCCTCACCGTCCGTTCGGGTCCGGTCCAGTCCGGTCCGTCCGAGCTCATGGCAATGCTCTGGCGTAATGGTGAGCTCCATCGCCGTGTGGTGCCGGCTGCCGGTCCCGTGAGGACGCTGTTTGTACACTGGCCTGTTAATGGTTATTACGTCAATCGATGAGCCGGTGATGAGACGAATCTGGAGCCGGATGAACCAGTTACTAGACTGCTTTTTATCCGCCATGTGAAGGTCAGGTTGACGGTTCTCCTGTCCCGGAGATTTCGTTTCAGCGTGTGGACCAGTGCCCTAATGATCTGGTTGTGTTTGTGTGGAACCAGTACGAGATGCATGGGACAACAACTTGCATTGTTTTCTGCTTAACAGGTCTCGTCATCTTCATCTTGCGTTCGGTGGACATGGCTTCGGGCATACAATTAGGAATGGGGAGGGGGGGGGGGGAGAGGGGCGGCATTTGCTGGTAGTCGTATTGAAATGCCTACATTGTATCAATTTGACCGGAGGAGCATGGCGAATCTCTGAACACGGTGGTTTGACCGCCTTTACATGTTGGGTCTAATGGAGTAGAGTTAGAAAGTTGAAAAGTCAAGACTGCAGGCCTGAGGTGAAGACCAGGCTGCCTGATGGGATCCGCTCCCGCACTCCCAGGAAATTGATGACGTATTGCCTGAAACATTCACAAAATGACTATTTTCTCACTCGCTGGAGCGTATCATGCATTACTGTTTGAACCGTTCAGTTCGACTACCTCAAGGCACGGTACCGTCACGCGGCGATACAATGTGCGACCGGCGGTCGGGGTTTATCGTCAAATCACGCGTCGAACGTCAACGCCTTATTCCTGTACGTGCCTGCCTGACGTGTTCCCGGGCATTGTCGCTAAAACCGGGACGACAGTCCTCGCCACCAGCGGCGCGTTCGCCCGACACTCGCACGCTCCACTGTCGGCGGGCGGGCTCACGCTGATCGGCGGACCCTTCGGCGACGCTCTGGGCTGGTGGCAGGCGTCGCTGATCCGCCTCGAGGTGCGAGACCGCACCGAGCGGCCGGCAGATGACGCACGCAGCACGCCACGGCCAGCTCTCCAGCTCCTCAGGCGGTGCGACCGACCGAGCGACACCTCCCCAGCTGCTGTCTGTCGCTTCTGTCGCCCCGCTGTCGCCTCAGCGCTGGCTCAGTGACGCGCTCAAGGGTGGTCTGGTCTCGGCGGCGGACGGACCGGGCGCCGCGGCCAGTCTGGGTCACCCCGCCCGTCTAGGGCACCCCACCCGATCGTGCTCAGTTGTTACCAACACCCTGCTGGGCGTTAGCGGCCGGCCACTCGGCCGGTGTAACACATAATCGGTGGTGACGCTATCGATTCCGTGACGTACGTGGGCCCTACACAAAGTGTCAGGCGTGCGCGACGACCGGCTGTATTCAGGCTGGCTGAGCGGCCGGGCCGCGCTGGCCCCGTGGCGCGGCGCCGCCGTGGCTGTCAACACCACGGGGCTATAGAGACGCCCCCGGGCGCCGACCAGGTGACAGGCGGCATGGGCGTTGTGGGCGTGAGGCGGGGGCGGCGCCGCCGGCGAAGCACGCTTCGAGGCGCGTCATGCTGGCCGGATGGGGTGGGTCGACTCTGGGTGACGGGCGGGGTGTGACGTGGTGGTGTTCTGACGAGGTGTCGGAATGGACGCTGATTGGACCGTTGTGGGTTGGGTGGGCTGTGGTTGACTCTTGCTGAGGTGGCCTGACAAGCTGTGAGTGGTTCCTGGGAAGGTAGCCGGGTGGTCTGTGATCGTTTCCCCATGATATGGCTGGTTGAGCGGTTAACACGTCCTGATGAGGTGGCCGGTTGGAAAAGACTGAGTTGACTAGTGGGACGGATTGAGCTTTGGTACCGCTTGCAGATGGATGAATGGGTTGACAGGTGGTCATTATGATCACCTGGCAACGGATAACTATAATCGATCTACAGTTGCGATTAACTGTCACATCGTAATGCCTCCATTGGTTTCGGTTGTCCGTACCTCATGTGCTGGTTCATCGCGCGCTGTGTTATTGTTGTAGCCATTACTACAACCGTACTACAGTGCCGGCGACATTTTCCTTAGACGCTGAAATGCACTCGTATATTCCATGAGCCTGCAATGTAACTTCATGTTGTATTCATGAACCTAACGGAGTCTGTTATGCTGCTAATTCTGGCTGGACCTTAGCATACTTAGGTCCAGCCATGCACATGTTGCGCCGGTTACTGGAAATCTTGGCAGCAATCTCGGGACACTTCCGTGCGTATTTGCGCAGCTATCTTGGAATACTTCCGTGCGTAGTTGCGTAGCTATCTCGAGACACTTCCGTGCGTATTTGCGCAGCTATCTTGGGGTACTTCCGTGCGTAGTTGCGTAGCTATCTCGGGACACTTCCGCGCGTAGTTGCGCAGCTATCTTGGGATACTTCCGTGCGTAGTTGCGTAGCTATCTCGGGACACTTCCGTGCGTAGTTGCGTAGTTATCTCGGGACACTTCCGCGCGTAGTTGCTTACTGTCGCCTATTTATATTTATTAGACTTCAGTGACCGATGTTGTGCAAACCATCCTGCGTAAGATGGCCAGCCACTGAGAGCACTGCCGCTGACTGATGATTGTCCTTGCCTGTCAACAGGCGGCCACAGCACTTTCTTCGGTCTGGCCAACACATTTGTGCACATCTTCATGTACGCCTATTACATGGTGGCCGCAATGGGTCCCCGGTACCAGCGCTTCATCAGATGGAAGAAGCACATGACCAACTTGCAGATGGTGAGCAGGTTCGACTGATCTCACGTAGTGACGTCATTATCCCAATAGTGACGTAATCCCCCTGGAGTAACGTCACTGCGCCGGCGCCAGGTGTGAAGCCCGGCCCGCGATGTGTTCTTGAGAGAACAAACTCGTAGTTACCTGAGCGACCTGCCTTGGATCATTTTGTATTGTTTGCATGGTTAACATGCGAGTCTCTGTCTCGATCTGTAAAAGGATGGACTCGGCTTGGGCTTGTTGTTAGCAATAACGCGCGGCCCGTTCGCCAATTATTCAAATGATTCTCACAAAGCAGCATACTCACGACTCACCTGTCCGCATAGTCGCCCTGCTTGGCCGCGTCGTAGACTTGTTAACTCGACCAGCTGGGCCACCCACCCTGCCGAACCCCTCCCACTATGGGGGGCCGGGTCGCGCCAGAAACCAGCCGCCGAAGTCGGAGCGCCGGCTGCGGAGGAATGCCGTCGGTGGCCGGCTGACCCTGGAGCGGACCGCTGATCTCGTGTGGGGGGAGGGGGGGGGGGGGCTCGGCGCTGTCCGCCGTCCGCCGGCTGGCGGCTCGGTCAGGCGGCTTAGTCCACAGTGACGCTGGCTGGACGGAGAGCCCTGGAAAGGGAGCCCCGGGAGGACGGCAGGAGGCGGGCGGGCACGCAGTTCCTCCCCACATGTTCAGACCGCGGCCACGCCGCACCCGCTCCCATGACAGGAGCTCTGTGCGGGTGACGTGCAGCGTCCCGTTCTCGACTGGTAGGCCTGTGCGGCCCGTTTCCGCTGCTTCGCGGTGGGAGGAGGCCCGCTGTCTGCACCAGCGGTTCGCGGCTGCCTGATGCGGTGCTGAAGTCACACTGACGTCACAGTGACGTCACGTTCCTCTCCGTCCACAGGTGCAGTTCGTGGCCATCATGCTGCACTCGTTCCAGCTGGTGTTCAGAGAGTGTGACTACCCGACCATTGCCTTCTGGTACATCGGCGCCCACGGCCTGCTCTTCTTCATGCTCTTCCTCGGCTTCTACAGGCGGGAATACTACGGCAAGAAGCCCAAGAAGGTGGGTTCGTGCGATTCTCATTCCTACCAAAACTCCAACTACCGGATGTCTTCCGGACCGTACCAATCATTGTCCATAGGTGAAACCCCGCGAAAACCGCGCAACACCCGGACTCGTTAAATGATGCTTGAACAGTCCATAAATGACTAGGTCCCTTATTTACCTCGAGACCCGGATGGATTTTAGCCTTCACGTGCGGAGCAGACAGAATCGGTCTGACCTAGCCTGACCTTACCTGACCTTGACCTGACATGACCTTACCGGGCCAGATTCCACTTGACGCGTGCCATCGAGACCGAAACAGTTCAGACCAGAAACGGCCGATAGATCCCTTCTGTCTCCCACGCCCCAGCGTGAGAGCTACTGAGCGGCGCCGACCGGCTGCCGCAGCGGGGGCAGGGGAGGGGGAGGGGGCCGCTACACCTTGACAGGTGCTCCACGCCTGGGTCGCAGCTGTGCTGAGGCGCTCCCCATGGTGTCAGCTGAGCAGGGCCACCGAACCGAGCCGGCTCTGTGCCAGATGTGCGCCTTCCGACCCGACCCGACCCCGTTCGCGCGCGGCGAACCGTTCGCTGCGGGAGAGAGCCAACCTGCGGAAGGCGCGGCCGGCCGGCAGGATTCAGTGCTGCCGACGTGAAGGGAGCACAGCGCAGAAATGACCGGGGTTGCTGGGGATGGGAGAGTCGCGTTTGCGCGTAGTGCCGCTGCGCTGGGGTGTTCTTGTATCTGTGACTGCGTCTGTGTTTGTACCTCTACACCGCGTTGTATTTGAGTATGTAGCGGAATTTGCATCGTTACAAACCTTCTTCTGGTGTCGCTGCTACTGAAATGTGTCTGTGTACCATCGGGTAGTAAAATCGTATCGATCAACGCGGCAAACATTTCCCTGTCTTGGGCAGGCTGCAACTACTCATCATGGAGTACATTTGACGTTAATTGAATGTCATTTGGTTGACTGTATAACCGTGGGACCACGGCGTCTAACTCGTACCAAATGATACAACCAGCGTAACTGACTCACGTAACTCATCAACGGAACTAACAACCAACGCAATTAACGTCGTACCAAGACGCGAAATTTGTTTCGATGACACACACAAACTGCGCTCGAGTCTGACACGTTTGAAGATGGAGCTCGACACCTGTCAAAAGAACCGGATTCCACGCAAGGGATGTTACATTCCTGGATTTTGAGCGGGAAGTTGCGGGCGTCGCCTTACGATCTGAGCTTCTCGCACCCTGTTCACTTGTCGTTGTTCGTTCCTCGTCGTTGTCGCTCGTTCCCTGTTGCGAATTCGCCACGCTCCGGAGCGCTTCCACCCGGCGGCTCGGGTTTGGAGCGCCAGCTGGCCTGTTGGGTGTTGCGCTGTCGCTGCAGGCCCACGGGTCGATTGCGCAGCAGACATGAGGACCTCATGCCAGAGCGCGCCTTGCGCCCGACCCCAGCGCTCGCGGCCAAGCGTCAATGCAATATTGTGATATAGGCCACAAGCACTCGGCACACGATTGTGCTGGCTTTGACAGGCTGTTGAGAGGGGAGGGGGGAGCCTCCGCGGGCGGTACCGCCGGGTGCGCTCTGGTCCGCCGTGGAACGTGCGCAGTGCCTCTGACCGAGGGGCGATGCATTGGGCTCTGGAGTCCGCGGTCCGCGACTTTTGCCATTTCATGCATGTTGTTCGCAGCCAGGGGGCGTGATATGAAATCTAGAAGCCTGGATGGACCAGCCTAAGCCGTATTTTTGTGCTTTATTTGATTAACTTACTTAAGTGGGCGGGAAATTTGACTTTGTGTGATTTAATTTCCCGTAAGCTTGTAAGCTTATCTGTCCTGGCATCAAGCGAAAGGGCCATCTGCTGGGCTCAGGCCTTTAAGACGAGGTTCATGTTTCGCAGGATGATGATGCCGTCAGCGTGGTCAACGGAAGTGCCGCCACGACCAATGGCCACAATGGCATCAAGACAAACGGCAGCGGCGTCGCCCACCAGAGCAACGACTTCGTCAAGCAGACCAACGGACTCGCCAGGGAGGCCAATGGATTCGCCACGCCAGACAGCAACGGCCACATGAACGGCTACCAGAACGGCGTGCGGGCTCGTGGCGCCGCCTCAAACGGTGTGCTGAGCCACTAGCGTCACCACGCGGCCATTTGGAAACACTTCAGTCAGCGACAGCGGCGTCAGATGGCGGACGGGGCTCACCTGAGTAGCAGCTACTTTCGGCCGTCCATTGTTAGCGTGGAGCGCCGTGGTCTCAGTGGGTGACCGTGTCGTACTGCGGCGCCGTGTCGTCGGACCAGCTGTTTGTTTTATGCGTGCTGAGTGAAAGTGGTCGCGCTTTTGCGTCTGTGGCTTTCTAGTTCTGTATGTCTTGTTGACGCTCAACGGTCAGGATCAGTGTGCGCCGCCGTGTGCCTTAATCGCATAAGCTGTGTGCTGTTTGGCTGGCAGCAAGGTACGACCATTATCACCATCCTATGTTCCATATTGTTTAGATAAACATGCAGCGGTCTGTGGGCCACACAACACTGCCCTCGTGCATATGAAAGGTCAGGGTCGCACGGTGCCGGTTTGCCTGTTTTATGGGTTGTTGTCGGTAGGTTCGCCTCTTTACTAAGGTTTCCGTGCGATGCCCGTTTAGTGTTGGCCGTTGAGACAGCCTGTTCCCCTCCACATCCATCTCCCCAGCTTGCTACTAATCGTTGCTCTTGAGCTGTGCCAAGCTCCGGAGACCTTCCATCATGCCATACGGCTCTGTTGTGAGCTGCACCGTCCTGTTGTTTCCTTTCACGCACCTCGCGCGGCTGTTACGCCTCAGCGGTTCACCCCATCATTCAGGTATCATATGCAGTCCATTCCGTCATCACGTCACTCCCAAACAGCTAATGGCACCAAGCGCCTGCTCTTGCAGCGCCCATTCTGTCGGCGTGCGCCGTCCGTGGCTTAGCATGATACGCCGACCGCCACCGCCAACATGGACCGGTGGCATGTTGTGCGCCAGCCGTTGCGGTCGCCCGCTGCACCCATCCACTTCAACTTGTGTTCCTCTGTCCCCTTTTAAATCCGGGAACGCGGTGGTCGGTTCTCTTCCCACGTCTCTGCGCCGCCGCTCGACCAGCCGCCACGCACGTACAATCGCGTCAGCTCGCGCGCGCCTGGAGTCCATCGCACGAGTCTGCCCATCCATCCCCGGCCCATTCTGCCAGGCTGTTCCTACCTGCTGTCCGGCCCGCCCGTCTCCGGCGCTAGTCCTCTCAACGCCGGGCCCAACGTCCACGCGCGGCTACCGCTGCCACGGGCACCCGAGCGTGTCATTCACTGTCATGGGACCACAGGGGCTTTGCGTCTCCCGAGCCGCCTGGCGCTGGCCTCCGCCGCCTCCATCCCCGGGGTGGTGCTGCCGCCGCACTGTTGGGACCGAGTCCCCTCGCCCGCAGCGTTCCGCGCCGTGTGCACCCTCTGTACTCGCCAGGTGGGGACCAAACATTGAAATACATCCGCCGCGAGGGAACGCGCCGTTCTTCGGTGACGGCACGGACACGGCCTTGGCAACTGAGAGGTCTGAAGCGAAACTAGCAGAGAGGTAACCGAAGAACGCAACCGGGCCCAATGCCGCAGGTTACCTGCCGAACTATGCGTGCAGAAAATGTTGATCTCTTGGACCGCAAAGCATACCGTCTCGGACTCGAATGTGGGCCTGCGATGCTGTGCATGCTGTACGTCATCAATCGACTTGCAGATGCAGACAAGTCCCAAGAAAGGTCAGCCAAGGTCATTTACAAGCTGGCCTTGCTGCTACTCTCGCTGATCACTACCTCAATCCAACGTTGCCGGACACTCAGACCTGCGCGATGGTGCGCATGTCTGCAAAGAAAAACAGGCGATTTCACACATTCACTTTTCCCGGAAGACGTCGTTCAGGCCCTGTCTTGTCAGTTTTTATCCCATCCGACCACAAAGCTTCGTGCAGACGGCGAGCTCGACACGAAACCGGGCGAGGGACAAGCACCGGGCAGGCGAGTTTTCCGCGGCGGTAATCGTCTGATAGTCAGCTCGCCGTGACCTCGGTTGGTAGAGTCTGTTGGCCGAGGAGCCCCGGCCGCACGCGAGCCGCAGAGCACCTGAGTGAGTGAGTGAGTGAGTGAGTGAGTGAGTGAGTGAGTGAGTGAGTGAGTGAAGTGCGGATGGCAGGCGGGCTCGGGTTTCAGTCTGGTTCGCCAACTCACGCATCGCAGCGTTCTCCCATATGCGTGATATGGCCTTCTTGTCCATGCTATTGTTCCATCTCCGCAACATTGGGAAGACGATGAGAACATGTCCACCTAACGTGGCGTATGATGCCTGGCGTCACATCCCACACGGCCAGGGTGAACGGGTTCGGAGCCAGCACACATGCGTGTCCACACGTCCCACGCGTCTCTATTTACACACACAGTGTCGGTACAGGTCGGCAGAGCTCGGCTACACGTCCAGACGTCAGGCGACCAGCTCCTCGGCGGCCAGCTTCCGCTCGCGCTCCTCCAGCCGCTTCTTCCGCTGCAGCAGGCGCCGCTCGCGCTCGTACTCGCGCAGCCGTAGCATGTAGCTGCGGACAGGCGGCCGGTTAACGGCCACGGCGAGTCCGGAGCGGCACCGAGCGATGGGGGGGGGGGGGGGGGAGGGGGGGCGACTGGACGCCACGATCAGTTACAGGGTACGTGTTGCGACAGCGGCCCGTGTACTGGACGACCGTTGTAGACACGGAAGTTGTGACGAGCTGGGATTGCAAGTAAGGATTCGCTTGGGAATCCTAGTCACGTCTGCGACGCAGCTTACACCCATGGGCAAGCACTGCCAGCTGTGCGTTGTGTGGGAAAAGACGCGGAAAGCTTACAGCGAGACACCACGCCAGCACACCTTCGCTGGATGTGGGCATGCGGCGGAAGGCCCCGCAGCCGACGCCCCCTGTGCATCCCTGCACCGTTCACCGACGTGACGCAACGTGGGCCCCACGCCTGCGCAACGCGCCAGGAATCCCCGTACAGTAATACCATTCTAATTGTGCAAGCACGCGGAAATATTAATGGTAGTCTCCTGCACAGCGCAGCAGAACGTTTGTCGGTGTGGCGCAACCCGTCCGTTTGGTAAGATCCGCACGAACAGCTGAGCAAGGTCGCTCTATAGGGCACGCCGTATCAAACCTGTCGACCGTCCCTGAAGTCCATGGTCACGCTGTTTGTCAGCACGTAAACAAGTTTATTCACTGGGGTGATGATAGTCGGACAGACTACATGGATTAAAAAGTTAACAAAAATAAATCCAAATGAGATAAAATCAGAATCTTTAGGAGGCATAATAACAGTAATATCATAAGCGAGTGCACTTCCTCCGTAATTAAGTCCTATAATGAGCCTGGAGAACCATTGCACACGGTCAGCCTCGACTTGATTTCAACCTGCATAGTCTGCGCCTTTTTAAAAATAAAGCATGCCAGAATCAGACATAAAGCGGATAGGCTAGAGCAGACCGACGTACGTAGGCCAGAAAAGCAGTGAGAGAAGAAGTATCAAAGCAAGCACATACATTGTCAACATTCCATCCAACCGAAAGATCGCCAAAGCCACTCGGGTTGGCATTGGACACTTACTCGTCGTATTCGCAGTTGGCCAGTTCATGCTTTTCGTGAGCGCACTTGTAGGCCAGCGGCCAATGATCTCGCTTGCACCTGTTGAAGGCGATGAGCTTGTGGGCGCAGTATCCGCGCTGTTCGGGCTCCAGCTTGGCACTCGACATCTCTTCCTCCGTCGCCACCATCACTGAAACCACGTCAGGCGTGTCAGCTCTTCCTCCGTCGCCACCATCACTGAAACCGCGTCAGGCGTGTCAGCAAACAAATACAGCCAACTTCTTTTCAGCATAATGACCACATCAGCATAGCCGTTTTTTCATTGCCGCAGCCATGCCAACGAGCGTCGCATTACGTCGGACTCTGCGGCTGACATTGCAGCCATGATAAGAGGGGTTGCCAGGCATCAACACTAGTAAGAAGCCAAGTCTTTTCTCCAATCTCCAGTTGAAAAGGAAAGCGTCGCACTGCTGTGTTTGCAGTTGGAATGCCTGGTTCGTCTGGCAGTGACAAAATAACTTTTCTGTCAGCAAATGCGTGCGTGGGTGATTTTCTGCGCAACTGATGCTCAGCTGTATTGTTACTTCTAGTGTTTAAGCCATGTGCTATATCATGATCTAAAATGTGTATTTTCTGAAATCATAACACATGACGGAATATGTAACAATGGCTACATCAGTGCAAAATGCGATTCCTAAACGAAAACATCTCCATGGAATCAGCTAACTGAAGTTACAAATAAACAGTAAAAACATAGGTAATTTAAACACAACGAACATCTGATCACCGCACGCATCGCGTCACATCTACTAATCAATGCTTGCTGTGACCAGGCGGCGCCACCGGCCACTCGCTTTGCCACCTCCTGTCGGATGCATTCTAGCTTTGGAACAGCTTTGCTTTCACTAAGGGACTTCGAAAGAGTCTGTTAATTTCATCTTCATCACTATCACATAAAATGACCGCAATGATCCAGATTTACAAGTTTATTTGAGTCAGAATAGGGCACAAAATTCGGGATTAATTGTGTTATTTCGTCTTCAAAAAGGGAACAATTTGGAGTGAGATACGGTTCACTGTCGTTCAGGTGCCCACTCACTCACAACCAGGGAAAGGGGCTGTCTTCTTTGAAATGGATGAATGCTGAGTTCCGTTGAATCAAGGCTGGGACGAGTATGAAACATGTTTCTAGGTCTTGTTCAAATGTTGCTTAATTTTGGGAGTCCACAGCGCCGAATAAAAAAATCATTGTTTTAAACGGTTTTGAAGTAAGACTCCGTTCTTACAGATTGGAGCAGGTAATTCCAATGTTTGGTGGTTTTCTGGGCAGCTCATTACCGGAAGAGCGTCGTTTTGTTGAAGGGCAGTGTCGTGCCTTTGCGTCTCTGAGGGCTAGTCCCGCGTTGTTGCTGTCTGGTTTCCGGTACTTTGTTTCCAATATATCACGGTGTCCCGGCTCGTGGGTCCAGAGACTTGTGATAAAAGATAAATTGGCGTACACTTCGTCTGGTCCCCCGAGTGTCCTATCTTAGTTCCGTAAGTACGTCGTTGCGAGATGGTCGAGAAAAAAAAACTGCAGTTCGTTTAGATGCTCGAATTTATAGCACCTCCACTCTCATTGTGTCTCTTGTCGCAAGACGTTCATCACATACAATACCATCATGGTCCAAAGCTGGTAAGTAAATACATATAGATTTGGGGGCAAAGTCGTGTGCTTGAGTACATATGACTCATGGCGATGTCTGCTCTTTCTGATATCATTTACGTAGTCGTGAAATTGGAAATCTGTTGACAAAGTTAAACCAAAATGATTGTAACGTTTTGTCACCGGAACAGGACATGCGGTAAGCGACAGGGTCGAGACAAGTGGGGGAGATGTGCTAGTAAAACTTATCTGAATAGTTTTGCCCGCATTCTGTGTGATGAAACAACTGCCCCGAATTTGAAGATGATGCTAGTCATTTGGCAACGAGCCATGAGCTGCGTTAAAAAGTAAGTGGGTGAGGCGCGCTGTTTGATTATGAGGGGGCGCCAGTTGCGTTACTTGGGGTATGAGGCACGCAGTGAAGTGCCGTCTGTGTTAAAGGTAGCTGTGTCAGGCGCGCTGTCTTGATTATGAAGGGGCGCCAGTTGCGCTACCTCGGGTAAGAAGCACACAGTGAAGTGTCGTCTGTGTTAAAGGTAGGTGTGTCAGGCGCGCTGTCTTGATTATGAAGGGGCGCCAGTTGCGCTACCTCGGGTATGAGGCACACCGTGAAGTGTTGTCTGTGTTAAAGGTAGGTGTGTCAGGCGCGCTGTCTTGGTTATGAAGGGGCGCCAGTTGCGCTACCTCGGGTATGAGGCACACAGTGAAGTGTCGTCTGTGCTAAAGGTAGGTGTGGCAGGCGCGCTGTCTTGATTGTGAAGGGGCGCCAGTTGCGCTACCTCGGGTAAGAAGCACACAGTGAAGTGTCGTCTGTGTTAAAGGTAGGTGTGTCAGGCGCGCTGTCTTGATTATGAAGGGGCGCCAGTTGCGCTACCTCGGGTATGAGGCACACAGTGAAGTGTCGTCTGTGTTAAAGGTGGGTGTAGCAGGCGCGCTGTCTTGATTATGAAGGGGCGCCAGTTGCGCTACCTCGGGTATGAGGCACACAGTGAAGTGTCGTCTGTGCTAAAGGTAGGTGTGGCAGGCGCGCTGTTTGATTGTGATGGGGCGCCAGTTGCGCTACCTCGGGTATGAGGCACATAGTGAAGTGTCGTCTGTGTTAAAGGTAGGTGTGGCAGGCGCGCTGTTTGATTATGAAGGGGCGCCAGTTGCGTTACCTTGTGTATGAGGCACAGAGTGAAGTATCATCTGCGTTCAGGACATTTGTTACGGATCTTGTCTGAGAAACATTAAGGCATGTGGGCACGAACAGAAGGCCCCGCATAATCATTGAGGGCGGCCAGCGTTGTCACTGAAAGGGCACATAGGCATCCGCCAACCCTTACTCTCATGTCCTGTCCGCAAGGTGAGCTTTTAAGCAGTAATGTTATGACGATGTGGTGACACGATTTATGATATAATGATGACACAGTTAGACTACATTCAATGTGTTTTACAGCTTTTAGGTCATCACCGACTGCACTGGTCACTTCGCACCCAGAACGGGGCCTGGTTCAACTGATGTGCACATGAAGTGGTGCAATCGAAGCACGATGTTCGTGTTATTTTCCACACGAAATAAATGCTGCCATTTCGAAAAAGGATATCACCAGGAAAGCAAAACAAGTGCAGAGCTGATTTCTTGTGCATCAGGCACGCAATCCACATAGCTGCAACCGCATCCGCACAACAATGCACTTCGAAGCTGGACAGAAGAGAAAACATGGCACTCAATGAACCTCTTACCTAAAAAAAAGCAACAACGGAACGGTCAGTCACTGAACAGTCCCTGAAACATCGAGCCGAGTTTTTACGACGCTACAAGCTGCCCGGACATCCAGCCAAACATCAGGCCTACACGTACTACTACGGTCGCCGGGCAGTCCGGCCGACACTGCCTCTCACCCCGCTCCTTCCTCTCGGTGGGGAAGCCGTAGTTGGGCTCGAAGGTGGGTGCGCTGTGGTGGTCCGGCGAGTAGGCCGGATCCAGGTAGTAGCGGGACACCCAGTGGCCCATAACTGGCCGCGTTCTGGTCCCTTCCGAGCCGGCTGCCCCACACAACCTGTCAGACAGCACAAACTGCCAGCTGGGACGGCCCAATACGACAATTGCACGCTCACGATGAAGTAGAGCCTCTGAACGCTGCACAGCTCTTGGCTAATGGCGGTCAGCATGACGGTCCACGGGTGCGGCCGTTGGCATACAGAATGTGGGCAACTGGATGATATCCACATCATTATCGAAACAACTGGAATATGACACAGTTAGAGAGGTTTTTGCAAATCTTTGCATGTGCAGGTGAAGGACTCAAGCAATCATTCATGGTTTTACCTCCATGCAAGAGGCAGGCCAGGGATGAAGCTTAGTGATATAACCACTTCCCCAGGTCAATGAATAAGCAACAGATGACAGCGCCCTACAAGTCTGCCATGCGTAGTTGCTCGAACATAGTTGCTTGAATCATCTAACAAGATAAGGCATGGGTGACACCGCATTGTGCAGACCCAGGGGGCTGTATATGACACCTTGCCTTCATGAGACGGACAATGCATGAATATTACGAGCAAAGCCAACCAGCAGTATACATCACCACATATTGTATTGTTGTAGTGCATCCCTACACTTGGGTGGCTAGAACTCTACCCATCGCACTGACATGAGCTTGTAGGGAGCAGAGATAGGGTTTCACTGTCAGTTTGACAGCTGTCTCGCACAACATAACGGAGGCCGTCGTCGCGAACAGATAAGGGATCCCATGACGGAAACTTCCAATCTTGTCAGAACGAACCAGGGAGAAATAACAGCTGCGCGGAGGCCAGCGGAGCTGCACGTGACAGAAGTCACATTCCCGCAGCTTCTGACAACAATCAAGAAGGGGAGGACTGAACAGGTGATAGAGGACTGACGCCCAGTCGACGTGATGTGTTTTCAATTTTGATTTCAGGATATATGGCGACTCCTGAAAGTTGTTTAAAGCAACAGGTGGTGGGCATTACATTCAAGCCTAAATAGATGCTAGTCAGAGGGATTCTGCAAGGTTTGATAGTGGGGACCCTACCCCTCCATATCTGTAAAAAGCCTGTGCTGCACCATCCAGTGACCCAGCTACCTAGTCACAGAGTCCAGACAGCACTATGATTATTGACCTGCTCTTAAAAAAGTTCAGTCCCAACATTTTAATTCAATGGATTTATGTGGATCAGCACCTGTGCTAAGCAGTGCTTCCTGTATGAGCATTAACCCAACCATCCAATCATGCATCTCCAGGTAAACTGTAGAATGCTATGGTGAGGGCATAATGCATCAAAGTTCTTGAAGCTTTCCATAATGCCCTCTCACATAGCTGAACTTTGATGCTGCCACTTCCATTGGCCACAGGCCATCCCCATTGGGAGCAATAGTGAGTGCTTAAGGGGGCTTAACCCATCCTGCCCAGGGTGAGTGACTCAGAAAGAAGGTGCTACAACTAAATGAGCTTTTGAGGTGGGAGAGCTATTGTCTCTCAAATGTACAACCTGAAGGAAATCTGACAAAACCCTCTGTTGAAGTAAAACTCTGATGTGGTACTACCTTAGTAAAATGTGTGGTTGGTATCTCTCAGTAATGGGGAATACTGGGCACTAATTTGTGCATGGGGAAGTCAGCCACAAACCTGCACCATATGAGAAGTAACTGGAACAGCTGTTTACTGCACTCAGAGGGATGCAGGAGTGCACACTGTCATTGAGTTGAGGTTCCTTGAAAACACAGGGGTGGCAGCAGCCATGGTGCTGAGGTTATGATGTTTGTTCCCTGCTACTTCAAACACTGTCAACCATGCCTCTCCTATTTGAACATTCCAGCAACCTTTGCATGAATGTTAGAAGGTCACTGGTCAATACCATGACGATCAGCTGGTCAGGCACACACTTGGACAGCCAACAAAACCAACTCAGCATCAATAGGCAAACATTCTCCCAGGAAAATTATCAGTTAACAGCCTGAAAACCCCACAATTTCTATAATAAAGGCAATGCTAAGGGAATTATTTTAAAACTTGCTGCAGATGACTCCTTAAGGCCAGCTATGTCACATTCAAAAAGGGTCACCCAGCCTCACCTATCAGCCCTAAATACCAGCTACAGCACATGCAAGAATGGATACCGAGCCTTACCTATCAGCCCTTAACACCAGCTACAACACATTCAAGAAAGGACAACCAGCCTTACCTATCAGCCCTTAATACCAGCCACAACACATTCATGAATGGATACCCAGCCTTACTTATCAGCCCTTAATACCAGCTACAACACATTCAACAACAGATACCCAGCCTTACCTATTAGCCCTTAATACCAGCTACAACACATTCAAGAAGGGATACCCAGCCTTACCTATTAGCCCTTAATACCAGCTACAACACATTCAAGAACGGATGCCCAGCTTTACCTATTAGCATTATACAAGCCCAAACTAGAGCAAGAATACACATTTTGGGTTTTATCATACAAATATATGTTACAAGGATGTTAATGCACACCATGGAGCTTGCTACATTCACAAACATTTTTTTTTTTAGAATTGAGCGAATCGCAATTGAGTTGGAATTGGAGTTCCTGAAACTATGTTATGCTTCTTGAGGTCTGAAATGAATTCAGCTACATCAAATGAATGCAGCATAAGTATAAGCATCTGAAAACTTAAGGAACTAACCATCATCCCTAGCTCAGACACATACACTTGCAAACTGACATGCACATGTGAAAAATATGAGCATCCAATATTGAAAATGACATAAAGTGATCCTGGTTTATGGTATCTGAATTGGAACCAGCTCCAAAAATGCAGTCAAGTCACAGCTCAGCTGGCTAAAACATCTATATGTGGATTGACCCACCCCACACATGCCATGTTCAGTTAAAATGAAGTCACTTTGAGACCTTGTTATCTCTTCCAACTAGGAACAACATGCAGTTGGAGCAGCAACCATATTTAAGATAAGATAATGTCACTTGTCATAGAATACTACAGACTGTGACAAGCATCATACCACGTTAAATACATAATACACTGAAATTTTACCCCCTCCCCTCCTAATTCTTCTGCTGATACATTCCATAATGGGATGAATGCTCATGCCACAAGCTCTGCTTAGTGTTTAGTGCTTGAGACCCATCCAACAAAAGATTCCTTCCAATGATAAAAACATAAGCACACAAGCAAGGGAGCCAGCAAATTCTTAACTACAGTAACACTTCTAAGGGACTGGATAGGATCATGCAATTAAGACCAAAGCACAGGCTGCAAAAAATACATGTCATATGGACCATACATGACAATATGAAATGCCTGTAATAGTTTGTGTGCCTGCACTGTGTAGATCTCTGAGCCTGAGGCTGGTGCATGGTAAACCACCAATGTCATCACATATAGACATGATTTCAAGGAATGACCGATGCACATACACTATAATATAAGCAAAAATTTGTGCATAATTATACTTCGAAGGTAATTTCATGCCGACATACATTCAAACTGCCTCTATCAGAAATAAATTGAAAGGGCAGAACAATTTGGCTAGACCTGCTCGGCACACGCATGTTCCAGATTAAGTGTACCGAAGCGCGGGTAAAACAGACAGATTTTCTGCAGGCTGGACCATAACCAAGTCAGTCCATTTAGCACTGAGCTGGTGCTTACCCTTCTAGCCTTGAACGGAGTGGAGCCTCCCGCGAGGGCGACAAGCAGCCTACGTTTTCAAGCTGGCGATTTCGTTGGGTATGTATTGCTGCTTGGAATGCTTGGAAACGAGAATAAACCAAAGATGTCATATATGCGCCAATAATGAAAATTTTCTTCCTGCTGATAGTGAGTAGCGTGATGATGAAGCAATGTACCAGTAAAGTGAGGCACATTTTTAAGCCCAAGATTAAAACGGTATATGGGATATTTGGAAATTAGAAGCATACACTTATATCGAAGTATTAAGAAATAAGATTCGATCGAAGAACAGCGAGTCACAAATTCCGCCGGCTGCGCTGTATTCGACGCACTTTAGCCTGCGGATTGGGGGCTGTTTCGGCTGTAGGGGTTGCCGTTCGCATTTGTGGAGGATATATGAAGTAAGGTACATTTTGGTTAAAATATATAAACGTAGGAAAATCAAGGTTGCTGTATGCACCCAGACTGCTGTTTTTAATCAATGTTGTAAAGGCCTGAGCCTTTTTCAAAAACTGATTTTTTTGCGTGTGTCGCTTTTTCCCAGGGGGGGGGCATGCTTTTGCATTCTTGCCTACGGTCACCCTCAGTCTTTAAGACATTGGTTACATCAGTGGCATTTCTGTTTCATAAAAGTGAGCTTGTGTCCTGCATATCAAGCTGAATGAATTGATTTGCGTATTTTCTGATGAGAATATCTAATTCTGGCTGAACATGATAGCTGTTGACAGCTGATTTGTGGGATCATGGTCCAGTTCATAAGCCTCAACGGTGGTGTCAGTATGATTTGTGGTGAAGCCTCCATGTTTCATGCCAGGGGAAGAAGTGGTGCCCATTGTTGATGCTGGTAAAACATGCCATGTCATGACTGCCAGTCATAGGCCAGGCCATGAGCCAAATGATGTTGCCTATTCGGCTTTTTTTTACTTGGGTACCTGTATTGCCGACGGTGGGGAGAGAGCTACGCTGGCTGCAGGGTTCCTGTACTGCCATGATGGAGAAATGCTGTTAGGTATCAGCCGACGTAGTGACGTCACTGAAAATGGGTTTGCATCTATCTGGGTTGTTTTGGGCCGACTGAAGGCTACAAGGCATTTGCTAGCGATATGATGTCACTGGTATTCGACTGCATATGTGACGTCACTGGTTGTGAGGCTTTAGGGCTCTTTTGGGTGCAATGAATGCCGTAAAGCATCACCTGACGATATGTCGTCGCTGGTATTCAATGAAACATCAGGCGCAACGGGCCTTATTCCATCTTTACCTTTCGTACCTGTCTGCTGCAAGCATTTGCGTGCCGAATAAAAGCTTGACCGAATCACCTGAATGTGTGACGTCACCAATCACCACTTGATACGAGTGCACTTAGGCCCCACGGCGCGGTGTATCATGTTCCGTGAAATATCACTGGGTATCGTGACGTCAGTGATATTCGACTAAATATTGGTCGCAACAGGTCAAGGTTCATTTTTAGCTTCGTACCTGTCTACTGCAAGCACTGGCGTGATGAATAAAAGCTACCGAATCACGTGAGTGTGTGACGTCACTGGTCATGCATTTTTATGGATCTTTGGGGGCCAACTGAGGGCCGTAAAGCATAGCCTAATGATGTGACGTCACTGGCATTCGACTGTGTGTGATGTCACTTGTGATCAGATTTTACGGCCTCTTTTGGGCCGACGAAAGGTCATACTACATTAACTGAAGATGTGCCGTCACTGGTATCCGAATACAATTCAGGCGGCCATGGCCATGCTCCATCTTTACCTTTGGTACCTGTCCATTGCAAGTATTTGAATGCTGAAGGAAGGGTCTGCCGAATTACCTGAGTGTGTAACGTCACTAACCATTAATTTGTATAGACTGTTTTGAACCCACTGTAAGCCATACCACATCAGCTGACCATATGACGTCACCGGTTTTCGTCTAGGTGTCATGCGCAACAGGCCATGCTCTATCTTTGCCTTTCGTACCTGTTTACTGCAAGCATTCGCGTGCTATATCAAGGTGATGCTGAACCATCTGAGTGCGTGACGTCACTGGTCATGAGTTTATACAGGTTCACTTGGGCAGCCCAATGCAACAAAGCATCATATCCTGTAAAGCATCGCGGGATGATATGACGTCACTGGTATTCGACTCAACATCAGGCTCAACAGGCCATGTTCCATCTTTACCTTTCGTACCTGTCTACTGCAAGCATTCGCGTGTTATATCACGTCATTGGTTAAGAGTTCTTACGGGCTCTTTTCAACCCCCTATATGGTATAATGCTTCAGTTGACGATATGATGTCACTGGTGTTCGACTTAGCATCAGGCACAACATGTCATGTTCCATCTTTGCCTTTCGCACCTGTTAAAGTATTGGCGAGCCTAATGATGGCTCTGCCGAATCACCTGAGCGCGTCATCATGAGTTTTTACAGGCTATTGTTGGCCGGGAAAGCCATTAGGCATCATCTAACGATATGTCGTCACTGGTAATCCACTAAGTGTGTGACGCCATTGGTCATGAGTTTTCCCGCGCCTTTTTGGGCCGACTTAAGGCCATTAGGCATCAGGTAACGATATGACGTCACTGGTATTCAATTAAGCATCAGATACAATATGTCATGTTTCATCTTTACCTTCCGCACCTATCTACTGCAAGTATTCGCGCGCCACGTAAAGGCTCTGCCCAATCACCTGAGCGTGTGGTGTGGCTGGTTATGAGTTTACGCGGGTTTATCCGGGCTGACTGAAGGACATCAAGCATCATCTGGCGATGTGACGTCACTGGTATTCAACTTAACACCAGGCGCGACAGGCCATGTTCGTCTTTACCTTTCGTACCTGTCTATTGTAAGCATTGACATGCTTAAGGAAAGCTCTGTGAAATCTCCTGAGTGTGTAATGTCACTGGTCATGAGTTCTTTACGGGCTGCTTTTTTGTACCTATAGGGTACAAGACATCAGTTGACGATATGACATCACTGGTATTTGACTTAATCTCAGGCGCAACAGGTCATGTTCCATCTTTGCCTTTCGCACCTCTATACTGCAAGTATTCGCGCGCTACATAAAGGCCCTGCCGAATCACCTGAGCATGTGGTGTAACTGGTCATGAGTTTACGCGGGCTTACTCGGGCTGACTGAAGGACATCAAGCATCACCTGACCATATGACTTCACTGATATTCGGGCTGTGGCCCAGACTTATGGCCGCTAGGCGGCGCCCTTGATTATTATTTAGCCATCAGGGCATTCCGGACCGTAGCTGCTCAGGGGCGCATCCTGTGATGTCGGGCGGAATAGCTTTGCATATACGTCGGTTTGTGGGCTGGGATCACCTTTGTTTTGTGTTTACGTTTGTTCAAAATTTTAGTCGTTGAAACAGCCCGTTGCGTTTGAAGTTGTTACTTAATGGTGCGCACAATAAAATTAGTGTGCTTAACTATGGTGCATCTCCCACCTCTGCTGCGGAACTCCGTAGCCGTAGGTGGCCAAGTGACCTCCTACCAACTGATGATCAGTGACGTCACATACTCAGATGATTCGGCGGAGCCTTCATATAGCACGCGAATATTTGTAGCAGCCAGGTACGAAAGGCAAATATGGAGCATGACCTGTTGCGCCTGATGTTTAGTCGAGCACCAGTAACGTCATGTCGTCAGCTGATGAATTATAACCTAAAATGGGTTCAAAGGAGCCCGTAAAAAACTCGTGACCAGTGACGTCACACACTCAGGAGATTCGACGGAGCCTTCATTCAGCACGTCAATACCTTTAATAAACAAGTACAAAAGGTAAAGAAAGTACGTGGCATGTTGGACCTGATGTTACGTCGAATAACAGTGACGACATACCATCCTGTGATGCTTCACGGGAGGTGTTGCTTTGTAGCCTTGGGCGGCCCAAGTGAATCCGTATGAACTCATGACCAGCGACGTCACCCACTCAGATGATTCGTCTGGAGTTTAGTCGATTACCAGTGACGTCATATCGTCAGCTGATGCTTGATGTCCGTCAGTCAGCCCGAGTAAACCTGCACAAACTCATGGCCAGTTACACCACACGCTCAGGCGAATCGACAGAGCCTTTTTGTAGCGCACGAATACTTGCAGTAGGCAGGTGCGAAAGGTAAAGATGAAACATGGCTTATTGCAACTGATGTTAATTCGAATACAAGTGACGCCATAACGTTATCTGATGCCTAATGATCTGAACTCGGCCAAAAAAGGCCCGTAAAAGCTCATGACCAGTGACGTCACACACTCAGTGGATTACCAGTGACGTCATTTCGTTAGCTGATGCCTTATGGCTTTCGCTCAGCCAAAAATAGTTGGTAAAAATTCATGACCAGTGACGTCGCACACTCAGGTGACTCGGCAGAGCCATCATTTAACGCACCAATACTTTACAGGTACGAAAGGCAAAGATGGAACATGACCTGTTACGCCTCATGTTAAGTCGAACACCATTGACATCATGTCGTCAACTGATGCATTTTTCCCTATAGAGGGTTCCAAGGAGCCAGAAAAAACTCATGACCAGTAACGTTACACACCCAGGAGACTCGACAGAGCCTTCATTCAGCACGTCAATACTTGTAATAGACGGGTACGAAAGGTAAAGATAGAACATGACCTGTCGCGCCTGATGTTAAGTCGGACACCAGTGACGTCATATCATCAGCTGATGCATTATACCGTTTGGGGGTACAAAAGGTCCCGTAAAAAGCTCTTGACCAGTGACGTTACTTACTCAGGAGACTCGACAGAGCCTTCATTCAGCACGCCCATACTTCCAAGAGACAGGTACGAAAGGTAAAGATGGAACATGGCCTGTCGCGCCTGAAGTTTAGTCGAATACCAGTGACGTCATATCGTCAGCTGATGCTTGATGTCCTTCAGTCAGCCAGAGTAAACCCGCGTTAACTCATAACTAGTTACACCACACGCTCAGGTAATTCGGCAGAGCCCCTGTGTCGCGCGAATACTTGCAGTAGATACGTGCGAAAGGTACAGACGAAACATGGCTTAGATGGAGCATGGCCTGTTGCGCATGATGTCTAGTCGAAACCCAGTGACATCATATCGTCAGCTGATGCCTTGTGGCCTATAGTAGGCTCAAAAGAGTGTGCAAATTAATGGTCAGTGACGTACACACTTAGGTAATTTGGCAGAGCCTTCCACGGCAATGCTTGCAATGGACAGGTACCAAAGATAAAGGTGGAACATGGTCTGTCGCGCCCGAAGTTCATTCGAATACCAGTGACGTCACATCTTCAGTCATTGCCGTATGACCTTTCGTCGCCCCAAAAGAGGCCGTAAAACCTCATGACCAGCGACACGCACAGTCGAGTGCCAGCGACGTCACATCGTTAGCTGATGCTTTATGGTCTTCAGTTGGCCGCACAAAAAATCCGCCAATACTTGCAGCAGACATGTACGAAAGGTATAAATGGAGCATGGCCTGTTGCCTGATGTTCAGCCAAATACCAGTGACGTCATGTCGCCAGCTGATGCCTAACGGCATTTCGTCGGTCCTATAGGGCCCGTGGAAACCCACGGCCATTGACGTCTTACAGTCGTATAGCAGTGACGTCGTTAGCTGACACCTTGTGGTCTTCAGTTGGCCGAAAAGCACCGTTGGAACCCATGGCCAGTGATGTCACACACTCAGGTGGTTCGGCAGCTTTCATCCAGCACGCCAATGCTTGCAGTAGACAAGTACAAAGGTAAAAATGAAGCACGGCCTGTTGTGCCCAGTTTTTATTCGAATACCAGTGACGTCACGCTATCCGGTGATACTTCGTGGACCACGACACACCGTGGTCGTGAGGCCTAAGTGCACTCGTATGAAGTGATGATTAGGGACGTCACACATTGGGGTAATTCGGTCAAACCTTTATGCGGCACGCAAATGCTTGCGGCAGACAGGTACGAAAAGTAAAGATGGAACGAGGCCGGCCGCGCCTGATGTTCAATCGAATACCAGTGACGACACATGGCCAGCTGATGCATTACGGCATTCAGTGGACCCAAAAGAGCCTTATACACTCACGACCAGTGACGTCACATACCCAGCCGAATACCAGTGACACCATATCACAAGCAAAAGCCTTATGGCCTTCAGTCGGCCCGAGAGAACCCCGATCCCGATCGATGCAAAACCATTTTCAGTGACGTCACAATGTTAGCTGATGCCTCACAGCTTTTGCCCCGCACGACAATACTCGAAACCCTGCAGCTAGCGTAGCTCTTCCCTCCGTCGGCCATACAGGTACCCAAGTAAAAAATTACCGCCTATTCTCCCAAAAGATACATAACATATCAAGCCCCACTCAAATCCCCCTCTGGAAAGTAGTAACTTGGGAATGTATTGAATGTCTGTTGCCATTAAAATAGAAGCATTGGGAAGTAATACCCTTGTATACAGCTCCGCACAGTGTGCCATAGTAAGCAAGGGCGGCATCATTGAATTGAAAGTTTTTTCGGTCAGGGTGTACTTTCCTACCTAACATTAGAAAAACTCACTGTACACCATTTGTTGTGTTTAGAGCAGGACATATAAATAATCACCAAACAGGTAGAATCATGCTCCTACCTTCAAATTTCAATAACTTCGATAGCGGGCTCCCGAGCCACGCGCACCGCACTGCCTGGACTCCCCAGTGCCGTTTCTGCGTTGCTGTTGCGTAAATACAATATTTCTACTTACCAAGAACTCTACAAAATGTACGGGACCAAGGTAAACCATTCGTCGTGTTTCAGGCAAGACATGTCGTAAATAATCACAAAACAGGTAGATTCATGATCGTACCTTCAATTTTTATAATTACAATAGAGAGCTCCCGAGCGCCGCACACACACAGCACCCGCGACACTGGCGCCATTACTGCGCGCATGTTGTGTAGATATACATTGTCTAGCTCTGTACCAATGCACCAGTTAACTGAGAACTAAATTCTGTTGTCCATCCTTATCACCTAAGTTTCCTTTTAAGCAGGGTTATATGCACTTCTTGGAAGCTGGAGCTGTGTGGTTAAAAGTACTGTGCTACAACTTTCTGCTGTGTTCATATTTCAAACACCCAGGTACCAGGGCCTGGTGTGTGTACAGAACCAGTGGGATACAGGAAATGGGGGCTGGTTTTGATAAGAACCAATTGGAATCAGCACCCAGTATATTTTAGCAGGAAAAGGTTGGGATTGGGAAACAGAATAATAAAGCAAGTAAATGTCTGGGTCCAGCCTATTGTATCATGCTAGACATGCCACACTGTGACCAAGGACAACATACATCCTATCTAGCAATACTGCCATGAGGAACCTACCTCAGGGAATAAATATTGCCCAGTTATTTTTTGTTGATCATTAACATAGTGTACCCAGTGATAGCACAAGCCATTAATGGATGTCTTCATGCTATCACGCAAAGGCATCATGTTACATCATGAAGTCATGTTAACATTTGTGCCACCACATGAAGTGTATACAGGCGTACAAAGCATTGCTAGATGCCATATTTGGCAGCAAAAACATCCAAGATATGGTCAAATACAGCTGAACAAATTGTGCTTGGCATTCATCAGCTGATTGGATTCCAGTTAGCCTCTGTGCCACTTTTTCTTGTGTTGTGCTCTAAATAATCTCATTCAAAGGAGGCCTATGTAAAGAATGGTGTTTTGGCCCAGGAAGTAAAACATTCTGGTCTTAGATGTTATTATGCATCATGCATGATGTATTAATATATTGTATAGATATATGTATACATGTTAATATATTATGATATTGATATATTGTTATATTGATATATATATGTATATATGCATATATATATATATATATATATATATATATATATATTAAGGCCTTATTGATGATGTATTACTATTATGTTCAACCTGGCCACCTCAGGTTGAACCCTCATGCAAGCACTCAAGTAATTATATCAAATAAGGATGGCAATTTGAGCTATTTACCTTCTCTTGGTCCCTCTCTGGCAACCATGTTCCACAAACATAATCTACAAACAAACCTTTTCTGTACCTTTGAGAGTGGTTTTGATGGTGCACCTGGCTGACATGGAATGTATGGTGTGTAAAATGACTTCTGCTATAAGATGAAACTTGAGAAAACCTGCACATGTCATCTAAGCAATGGTCCTGCCTTGAGCCTGAGTAAGACCGTCTAACTTTTTCAGCTATCCCCCAGTTGGCCCGAACACAGGAAATACAAGAATGTCAACACGCTCCACCAGGAACAGCGTCAGGACAAGTATGGCGTGCTGGCTGATAGCTTGAGCGTGATGTGGCTTAGTATGCAAGTGGCAGTTGGCTTCCCATCTGTCCAGCATGTGTGTGCATGTGTGTGTGTGTGGTCTGGGTGATGGGCATGTAATGCTCAGTGCTTTTTCAGCACTTCATCTCAAGCCAAATGCTTGCATGCTGGCAGATGCTCGATTTTCGTGTTGTTCCATGTGGTCGCACACTGCTGGCAGAGTTCATTGGTGGCAGACAGTGTGGGAGTGCATGCGGTCCCATCTTGGAAGGACCACCGTAGCACATTGATTATGACGGGATGACGGCTAGCATGTCAGATACAGGGTGCTGGGGCAGAGGTGGCCAGGTCCGGACGCCCGTCCCACCTCCAGTATCCTGCTGTGCTGCCGGTGTCCCGTCCTCCACGCTTCGCTTGCGCTGATCAGCCACCTTTTTCCTTTACATTGTTTTTCAGTAACCATGCTGTGGTGTTTTCTTATTGTGCTTTGTTTCACGGCCATTCGGGGTTGCGATTTAGATGCCATGAAGCTGGAACAGTGTTCAAATAATCGGCCATTTGGATGGCAGGGATGTCGATGTTTTTTCATGCTTTACACCCCAGCTTGGGGCTTACTGCCTGCTGCCCCTCCCCTCGCTCAAAATCAGCCAATCAGCATCGAACGGGACGGATGTCAAACCAGTATCTAAGCGCCTCAAGCTTGGCAATCGAGCTGGGTAGCTCAGATGTCTGGGTTCGGGGTCAAAAGACAGCAGATTAGTGCCAACGAATTGCGTGCAGGGTCCGCCGAAGAGCCAGGATTCATGCAGCATGAATTCGTATTTACATCGTGCACACCGTACTGGATGAATTTTAGCTCAGCTGAGCTTGAAGCCCAGCTGGGCCAAACTGCCCTTCAAGGGTAGAGTGCAGCGGCATATGAGAGTCGGGGCCGAGCTAAGCATGAGGCGAGGACATGCACCTTGAAAACTCTGTACGTTGTCTTATCATAATCGCATTCTGGCGGGTTGGGCGGATGCCGTGGCATGCCCTTCGGAGTGTATCGCCATCACGGAACAAGGGGTGGTATGGGGTGGTGGAGGCCCTTAGCGTTTACCTCGGTCGCGTGCCAGTTTGGCCACCGACCTGATATGTCCCGTGTTCTGGGCCCCTGGTGGCGGCGTGCTTTGTCTGTATGCCGGTGCGTGCCGCGTCGGCTACCGTTCCAAGCGGCTTTTGAATGCAGGCTAATACGTCCAAAGTGTACGGGCCGCGCAGCGTGAATATTTTATACTCTCAGCAACCGAACGTGACGGTAGAGTCGGTCGGTATTTGGTCATGCTCATCCTGTGTTGTGTTGCCCTCAACACTGCCTGATCGGTAAGCACGTGTGAGATGGGCTGTCTACCGTCGGCGGGGGCGTGACGCTCAGCCGGGCTCCGGGCTGCACTCCGCTAAGGACTCCTCCGCGCGCGCGCGTGTGTGTCTGGCAGGTCCGGCGGCGCAGCCCCTCAACAAGAGCTTCGTGAGCGGCGGCCAGGTGGCGCCGCCCAGCCAGGTCCCCGTGGTCACGTACTCCACCACGGAGCAGCCGCCTGCAGCCATGGCCGTACGTGTGGAGCGGGCGCGGCGCCCGACACGGACTGGCCTCCTGACCCGCGTACCTTATCGGCCATGTATCGGCAATAGTTTCGAAGTACACCGGTAGTCTATGGACGACATATGCAGTGTATGCATTTGCAGCAATGCTGTCATATTGATAGTATACGACATGGGTCTGTTTACATACAGTATTCCCCACTGGCCATGTATGTATCAGCTTAGTACGTTTTGTTGCGGGCCGTGTGAACCGTGGCTCGTGACATGGCCCTTCCTCGCTCCACGACGCCAATATAGCCTACTTTGATCAGCGAGTATGCGATTAGGATCCGGTCACGAAACGAAAAGGGGATACCCATTGCCGGGGTCAAACGACACATCTCTCTAATCCGAATGCATCTCATGCATGTAAACTCTCCAATGCCTTCATTAACCAAACCTATTACACAGTAATTAAATACTACCAGACGAAGCCCTACGTCGCCCTACGCCCCTTCCTCTCTTCCGCCAGGGGAGGCTTTTGCGGGGGCCCCAGGAATACCTGATCCCGCGATAATGGATCCGACATTCAATGTCGGTGGCACCCCGTGGCAGCGCGTCTGACCCCGTGACCCGCCGACCCCGATTGTCCGACCCAGTGACCACTGGTCGGACCATGGGGCGGTGCGTGGACTCGGCGGCCAAAGCCTCTGATGCCGCTGACACCGGCTAGACCGTAACCTCGCGCCGTGACCGCAGGCTACTGCCGTCCCGAAGCAGGAGCAGCCAGCTGCTGATGACGTCAACATGGCCGAGGCGCCCGCTGCCGTAGCACCGGCTGCGGACGGCGAGGGCGCGAAGAACGGCGACAAGGTGGCCCGCATGCCCTGGATGAAAGTTCAGAAAGGTACTGTGGTTCTCGCGGCCGCCGCCAGCCGACCGGGGGCGCGCGATGGCCGTCGGTCGGCGCGTCAGTGCACGGCAGTGGTGACGCCCCCTGCACACCGACCCACCGTTCAGAGCTGCGTGCGTGCCTTGCGCCACGTGGAGCAGACGCGACTCCACGGCTGCCTGGTCCTGCGTTTGTTTTCTAATTTCGCCCGGGAGTTTCTAGGCATTTGTATTCGAAGCTGTGGCAATACCTTTGGGAGCGCGGTTGGGTCATGCCACACCCGTTAGCAGGCCGGCAGCCGCGCGTAGCCTGCTGAGGTGCGCGCGTCAGCCTGATGAGAGCCCCCTCCGACAGGCGCCGGCCGCCCGCGCGCCGCGCCCTCCCCCGCCCCGCCGCCGTCGCCTGCCGATGGGTCGCCGTCGCCGCGCGCCGGGCGCCGCCGGCGACGGCGCGGCCTCTCGCGGGCGGCGGCGCGCTCGTCGTGTGCCTGCAGGCATTGGGTGTGGGGTGTCGCTCTGAGGCGCGCGCGCCGCGCCGCCGCCGGCGGTCGCCACCCGGTCGCCGCCGGCGGGGGCCGGCGCGCGCCGTCGCCGCCGCCACCGAGCCGCCCTGACGCCTCTTGCCTGGCCAGCGCCCGGGGCTCGGCGCAAGCCCAACAAGCAGCTGATCCAGCGCCGCCTGCGTAAACACCTGACGCCGAAGAACGCCACGGTGGCGCTGCAGGAGATCCAGCCGGGCGTCACGTACCAGTTCTCGGCCATGCCGGGCAGCGCGCCTGGCGTGTTCACTGCTGAGGTAGAGGTACGTATACGCCCGGAACGCCACGGGGTTCACGTACGAGGTGGCGGTTCGCCCACTCCCAGGAGACTTGGGTGGATTTTGTTCACGGAGGTATAGACCCTCCCACCGTGCGAGACTCGGACACCGATGAGGTGGACGCACGTCTACCCTGACTCATCAGGGGTGTCCGATGATAACGTGGTTTATGACCAACCTGCCACTCGTGGGATGCCTCCATGCGTTACCATGCATCCGTGCCTTCGGCTCTGATGAGGTGGAAGTACCTCCACCCGGGTGGCTAGGATGCACTTTTCTTTTGAGGGTACGCGATTCTGGCTCACAAGGGATGTCCACGACTGAGGTGAAGTGAAGTCTCCTGGGCGCTCGAGTTATGTCCACCGATGAAGCGGAAGTGGCGCCCATTTCTTGACCATGAGTGCCGCTCATTGCCGGGACGGAGTTACGCTCACATCGGGATTGTTAGAGTAACCAGGGGCTGCGCGCACGTTCACGCTAAGCTTTGAATCGTGTTCCCTGCTTTTCGAAAACCCGTTTGCGGTATTTGCGGTCCCGATCGTAAGCCAGCGGGCCCCCGCTGAAAACCAAGTTGTGGAACGCCTTGTTTGGTGAGAGCGGAATGTGGGTAGCTTTGAACCTGTTGGAGAGAAGCCTGAACCGCCCATATTGGATTTTCCACCGCCTTGGAGACTCAAATTTCGTCAAACAGTCAGATCATAATCAGACCAGATCACGGAGCTTTGTAATGGTTGTTTGAAGAAGAAAATATGCAAACAATTGCATGTGGGAACTATCACGACTAGGACTGAAACGCTGGAAACTACGTTTGGCAACGCATGGCGTGATGGCAAGCCAAACCGGCTGTCCGAAATTCCAAATCTTGCAATTTTTAACGACAGTGTGACTATCCACCCGAAATGATTCATTTTGCCCGCCCCGTGGGCGCTGACTGCGGCCGACCTCACCCTCAGGTCGGCGGCAAGAAGTTCCACGGCGTGGGCAGCAACAAGTCGCTGGCGCGCGCCGCCGCCGCCGAGCTGGCTCTGCAGTCGTTCGTCAAGCCGCCGACGCGCACCAAGGACGAGCAGGGCCACGATGTGGTGCAGGATGATACGCCCTGGGGCGCGCTCGCCTCGTTCGCGCTGCACAAGCTGTTCTGCGACTGGCGGCGCGGCGTGGTGGGCGCGCCACTGAGCGTGCAGGGCGCCGCGCTGCCGGCCGTCGCCGCCTCCTGCGCCGCCTCGGCCGCCGCCGCCGCCAAGTTCACGTCGGACGCGCCCGGCGGCGCCACCTTCCAGTCGTTCAGCGTGCCGGTGAGTGCGGAGCGTGCTGAGCGTGGTGGCCGGCGGTACGATGTGTGCAGGGGTGGCTCGGGTGCTCTCTGGAGTGACTGGTCTGAGCAGGACTGGACTACGGGAGCGTATATACGGCGCGTGAAACGCCCGGCTGACAAGGCAAGAGCGAGCTGCACGCCGTGCCGCATATTTAACATAAACCAAGGCATTGCCGCAGATGCTGGATGCTCCACATTTCATTGTAAGTGGGCCTCGGTGTGTCACCGAGTCCACACAGTCAGTACTGGAGCATGTCCAGCGCTCGCTGTCCGAGCTGGGCTGCCACAGCCGCGCTGGTCCGCTGGCCGCGGGTGATCGATGTGATACCGGACGCGCGCCGGCCGGCCGCTGTGAGATGAGACTGTCACCTGGCCGGCAGCCGATGGACCCGCCTCCGGGGCCGGGCGAGCCGCCCAAGAAAGTCGGCTGCAAGAAGCCGAAGGCGCTGCCGGAGGACGCCGCCAAGCGCCACCCAGTGCAGCTGCTGCACGAGATGAAGGCGCGCGTCCACTACGAGACGCTCGAGCACAACATGCCGAAGCCGGGCACCCAGGAGACCAGCTTCACGGTGGCCGCGTTCGTCGACGAGCAGTCTTGGCAGGCGAGCGGTAAGTCCCTCGGGGGAAGCGGCCGTTGTTCCGCGCATGCCGCCAGGGGTAGCGGCCACACGCCTGGACCAACTCAGGCCTTCACTTGCTGGAGTAGATATTGTGTTCCCGCCGTTCCGTCGTGATGATTTTTCTCATTCATTGGTCAGATAGCTACGGAGCTATATGACGATTTGATGAAGCTATCTGATGAGCCATTGACGACGGAGCTATTTGATTACACGCTGATAGCAGAACATTTCATATCCACGCTGGAACAGTGCCCGATTTTCCTCCGTGTTCCATGTTCCTAGATTATTTTTTGGAGATCGCTTTTACTGACATTGGGCGTTCGCCTATCTCCTGTGTATGTTGGTCTCACCAGGTAAATGCCATCAGTGGGTAGCTGAGCAGGCCTAACTGATAACGCGGATGGCTGGCATAACTGTTGACGCGTCAGGTACAGCAACGTTTGAACCGATCACACCTCATTACACTAATCTAAGTCCTAAACGGCTGGTACGCCGCAGGCGGTTTGGCGGTGGGTCGCACTGTGGCTATTAGTTGTTACTTTATTGTAGCTCTGTCTACTAGGAAGCAGCATTGCGGTTCATCCCATCCTTCCATTGGTCATGACGTAAAAATAGTCACAATGCATTATGGCCGTGCCTGATAATCGTGACAAGGCTAAGATTGTTGTCACTGCAGAGAACAGGGCACATTGGATGTCCTGCTTTTCAAAGATTGTTTTCTCTGATTGTGGTCCATCCTCTCATTCATGCAATCGCCCACTCAGCCACCCACCCGCCCATTCGTGCTCACCCGCTCCGTGGAACTTGCGTCGCTCACCGAGTGCGCCTGTCGCTCACCCCCGGTTCATGCGCTGGGACGCTGTGTCCGCAGCTCGCACCAAGAAGCTGGCCAAGTACGAGGCCGCTAAGAAGGCGATGACTGCGCTGTACGGCGTCGCCTACGAGTAGACTAAATGGGGGCGACGGGCCGGCGCGGGGCTGCGCCTGCTCGCGCGTGGTGAGGTGACGCCGCCGGGCCGCGTCACACCTCGGCCCGCCCACCCGGTCTTAGGCTTCTGCAGTCCATGTCCACGGGCAACTAGAGTACAATGCGATTTTTGTGTTTTGCCCGAAGACAAAGCAGGACTGCATTCGGGCGCTCCATGTTAAACCGACACAGGCAGAACGCCTCCTCGTTAGCTCGCGGCTCGTCCTCCGAGACGGAGATAGGGTGCAATTTTATTTTATTTGTGACATCTGGACGACATTCATGTCTAGCAAGTAATAATGACGATAGGCATGAACCGTGGTATCCTAGGTGATCTAGGTAAAAATAGCTTTCTGCGGACAACAGACGCAGTTGTCAGCAGAAAATTTGCCTGAATGGCCTAAGTCATAGATCTTGAGGGGAATTATGTTCCCGCTGTTATTACGTCTAAGCTGCGTTTTTAGCGTTCAAATTTGCGCAACAGGCCAGCGCGAACGACACGGAAGCTGATGCGATCTTGCGCGCGGAGTTCTGTGACGTTTAAAGACCCTGATCAAATTGTGCAGCATAGTTCAGCGTGCGGTAATGTTAATTTGACGCCTGCTGCCTGTGTTGGTTGGCCATGGACTGTCCCGTTTTTGTTTTTGTTTTTTGAGACAGACCTCGCTGCCTCATTTCCCATCGCCATCAGTCTCCTGGTTGGCACGAGTACCAGGGTCGTCCGCCAGCTCACCGCTATTGTCTTTAGATATATGTTCTGCGTGTGGCCGTGCGTGCGCGCCGGCGGGCTCTACTTCAGAGTCCGCCGGTGTACAGGTATCCCCGTATCCGTTGGGCCTTCGCGTTCCGAATGCCAATCCGTCGCCTCGCTGTCCGCATCAAAACACCGGGACCGGCTCCGGGTGCTCTGTTCGTATATGTTCGTGCGGTCGGTGCAGCGTGTGATCTGCTCGCTGACGGCGTGGCCATCGTATAAAATATACACAGCCTCACACACAAGTATCACTGTTTGGGGGCGCGGGGCGGCGGCGGCGGTGGCTGCCTGGCTCGGGCGCGCGGCAGTGCCGGCAACGATCCCTGGGATGAACTGCCGCGAGAGTCGGCCGGCCGCGCCGGCGCTGTGCTGCCGCGGGTCTCCGGTCTGCCGACAGGCGGCCACACCGGGTCAGTACAGGGCTGACAGGTGGGGACGTCTCACCTCAGCCAGGGCGTCCCACCACAGCAGCGTGTCCGACCACAGCAGCGTGTCCCACCACGGTAGGGTGTCCCACCACAGCAGGGTGTCCCACCACAGCCAGGGTGTCCCACCACGGCAGGGTGTCCCACCACAGCAGAATGTCCGGCCACAGCCAGGGTGTCCCACCACAGCCAGGGTGTCCCACCACGGCAGGGTGTCCGGCCACAGCCAGGGTGTCCCACAGCGGCAGGGTGTCCGGCCACAGCCAGGGATGTCCCACAGCGGCAGGGTGTCAAGCCACAGCCAGGGTGTCTGGCCAAAACCAGGGTGTCGCACCACAGCAGGGTGTCCGGCCACAGCCAGGGTGTCCGGCCACAGCCAGGGTGTCTGGCCACAGCCAGGGTGTCCCACCACGGCAGGGGTGTCCGGCCACCCGTGCACCCGTGCAGGCCGGCCCTCGGATCACATAGGAGGCGTAGCAGCACAGCAAATGCAACAATTCGCGAACAACTTGGAAGACCGGCAGGACGCCTACGCCTGTGTTTTATGACAAGTCGGTGATTGTGGTGTGTTCACCCCGCGCCTGTGCTTGACCAGGCCGGCTGGCGGTGGGCTGCGGCGGATGGCCCGGCCAGGGTCAAAAGGTCATGGCCCGCGGCGCCAGACGATCGGTGACCCCGGGTGACCGTGGGTTTTGCTGGGCAGTCGGACAGGGAATGTGTGCCGAGAGGTTGTGGGTTTATTCGTCTTAGTTTTAGTCGCGTATTGGTCGAAGGTAGTGGAGGTGTAATAGCTAAGACTTGTGCAGCCGAGCCGGCGAGGAGAGCGAGACTGAAGCGCTGCAAGGGTGAAAGGAATTCGGTAGCGCGTTAGACAGCTTTAAAAGTTGTGAACTTCGCTGCACGCTGAGCATGGCAAATACATGAAGAAAGGAACGAAGGCCAACAGCGAGGTTGAACAACTCCCGATATTACTTTTGGTTTGGTATAGCTCCCAACCTACGGCTCTCCCTCGCGCGCACGATACACAGCATGCGGCCGCCGGCGACGCCGAGGGAGAACGCACCTGTGGGCGGACGCGGCGGCGGCGGCGGCCGTCGGCAGGCGGGGCAGCTGCTGCTGCGAGCCGGCGCCGCCCTGCCTGGCGGGAGCAGCGCGCGCGGGCGGCGCCGGCTGGCCGCCCGCGCGCCACGGCGGCCGGAACTGAACGCTGCTGCGCATGCGGTGCAGCTCGCGCTGGCACTCGTCGCGCTCCCGCTTCAGCTGGCGGATAGCTGTCTCGGCGGCGGAGAGCTGCTGCTCCAGCGCGGCCACCTCGCCGTCGGGCCGGCCGGCCGCGGTGCCAGGCACGCTCCTGCCAGGCCCGGGCTGCCGTTAGGGGGCGCCACCACACACCGCTGCGAATCGTTACGAGCCGTCGGTGGCCGGTGCAGTCGGCATGTATTGGCAGGAACCGTCCGTAGACCCCGGCGATGCCCGGGCACCATCCGCCGCTGGTGCAACCGACACGTACTGCCAGCACGAAGGGTGACAGAGGGGGCGTGCAACAGCGCCCTTCTACGGCCGCGCGGTCGTGCCACTGGGCCAGGTGATGTTCTCCATGTGCGGAGACTGACTCGCAGTTTGTCGCGCCTGTCCGGCTTTTCCTGCGGGCGGGCGTCTCACCTCTCGACCTCGACCTGCCGGAGGTCGGAGGCCAGCTGGTCGCTGCGCTCGCGCTCCTGGCGCAGCGCCTGGCGCAGCTCGGTCAGCTCGCCCTCCATCAGCTCCAGCTGGACCGGGTGGGCCGGCGCGATGTCGACGGCGGCGGTGGCGCGCGCCTGGTGGCGGGGCGATGAGCTGGGCGGCTGGTCCTCCTCCGGGCTCAGTAGGTGTGCCGGCAGGCTGGCCGGTGACATCACTAGCCGGAAGTTCAACTCTGCGGCGTGGAGAGCGGGCAGTGACGCACCCAGTGCGCCTGCGTTCTCCACGAGAGATGGTCCTATGCGGACGTATAGCCGGCTACGCAAAAACTCAAAGGCGTAAAAACAAGGGCCGGAATAAGTACACGCCAGCTGTGTGATAACGGAATGGTCCTGTCATTGTCTATTCGTGCGCATCAATGCTGCGAAGATGGGGCGGTGAGGGACGGTCGACACAACTCGTTGTGGAGCAAAGCCGCTCGCTGTCGCCGTCGAGTTATTAATTGGCATCCGGGCTAGGGTTTCTGGCTGTTATCTCGGCGGCCACCTGCCGGCCTTTGTCTGACGGGCGGCGCGTGGATCGGCTGCGGACGTCCGCGCCTCTGTCGGCGACCGAGAGTGGGACCGGGCTGGCGCCGCGCCGCAGCCCGTCAGCGCGCGTGGGCGCCGCGTCTCAGTGAATCAGCTGCCTGTGTCGGGAGCGGCTCTGAATCACCGGCGGCGGCCGTTCGCGGCCTGCTGCCGGCTCCAGCCCGCACCCTCTGCCGGCGCGGGCCGCGACAGCAGCTGCCGCTGGCGTCGTCCGGCCCAGCCCGCACCCCGTGACGGCGTCAGCGGTGGTGTGCGGGCTGGGGCTGGGCTGACCGGCGGCGGCCGTCCCACATGTCCTGCAGATGGCAGGGCGTGGACTCTTGGCGCGAGGCGGCGTGTCGTCCCTTCGATCGGCCTGTGGCGCAACTTTGGCCCGTTTGGTTAGGTTTGTGCTTCCCCCGGCCGCCCGCACACCGCCGTGATGCGCAGGTCTGCTCGGTGGCCACCGTCACTCGGTACATTGCAGTGGTTCATAGGCCTGCCGAGTAGGCGCTTCCCACTCGGCCCACCGCCTTGGTTGGCAGGCGTGTTCGGCGATGTCGCGGCACAGAGGTCCGCTCGGTGACCGTCTGTCGCTCAGTACACGGCCGTGGTCCACAGGCCCGCTTGGTGCTCGCTGTCGCCCGGTACACGCGTGCCGCCCGAGAATCGATCACGGCCGCCTCGTCGCGTGGAAACGGCCGGGCTGAGCGGCACACTGTGAGAACTGTGTGGCATGCAGACTGCGGCAGACAGTGGGTGACATGCAAACCTGACAGGTGCATTTTCGAAATGAGGCTACCGGCTCAAACCGACCGAAGAACACTGGCGGTTACTTGTGTACTCAAAATACGCCCACATCGAGGAATACACTATTCAAACACGGTAGGCACAAACTGCATGACGTCTCCCACATCCAAGGCGATAAATGCTGCAGTATTTGACCCCTGAAATTCCATCCAGCGTTCGCTTTATTTGCTCCAGTTCTGCAGTAAGTCAGAGGCTTTATATGGTTACCGGAAATGCAGCCTGTTTTGCAGAAGACATTTCGCACATTTTCATGAAATATGACCTGACAGTGTGCTTGCAATGCACCAAGCAAGAGACTGAAACTAATTAATTTAATTTTTGGCCTTGACATATGAAACAATTGCCCACCGTAGTGCAACAATCGATGGTATTTACTCTTTGTAAATTGTGCTCACCTTTATTTTTCCGCTTCAACTCATCAATCTCCTCGTGAAGAGCAGATACAATTTTGTCGTGGTGCTCGCGCATGAACAGTATTGACTTTTCCAGTTGCTGTATTCTTCTCTGTTGATTTGGGACATTTTGTTCGGACGGTATTGGCGAGGTAGCTCTGTGAATCTGGCCCAAGCAGATCAGTAAGTTCAAATAAACCTGTGAAAATCCTCCGATGCACAGCGATGCAACGCAAGGCTTGTGTGGCTGTACGTTACAATAACCAGACATGGACCTGAAGGCGAAACAGGATGCCGGGATCCGATAAACATGAAACGTTATGGGGCTCTGGATCCAGCCTTGACATCCAGACAATCCAGACACATATATGCGAATAACATTGGATAGGAAATCGATGAAGCCTGTGATATTTATGTAAGCACCCAGATTCTTGCTAGCACGTCGATGGATGTTCATAGCAAAGTGAAACAGTGCAGATTATAGCACGCAATACTGACTTACCTTGGGTTCCTCGTCGGCGGTTGGACGACGAACCTGGCCGGTCTTGGGGCCAACGTACTTCTGGCCCCTGGACAGGGACAGCACGCGACTTGGCGATGTCAGTGGGGGAAGCATCGCGTTCTCCTTGCCGACATGCGGCTTGACCGATCTTAACACGGCAGACTCGCCGGCGCTCATGCCGACGTGTAAAATTTACAGCTCGCTCCCGGCGGAAGAGGGGGCAGCCGCGAATTGACACCATAAAATGTTCGTCACCACCGAGTATATCACACGTCGAGCGGAGCAGGTGATTTGGAAGACGATAAATAGTCCAGCCGTCTTGTCAGGAGAAGGTCGCGAGGCGAACTGGCGGCGGCTCCTCCGCTCAGCTGGTCCGGCCGCTAGCTGCAAACAAAGGCGCACCGGCCGCTCTTTGTCCCGTCCCGCCCGGAAAAACTAAGGTCACAAGCGCCTGCCGACCGACCGACCACTCACCGGCTCCGCCGCTCGCTTCGGACTGGAATCCAAGGTGCAGTCGGCCGCATCGTCACAGCTGATCAATATCACGTGTCGCAGTCCCGGCCAGGCCACCATTCACGTCAAGGCAAAGGCGGCCAGAAAATCGATGCGTCAGAAGCGCTGGCGCCCCCTGGACGAGCACGCAGCGGTGGCGTTCAGTGCATCGTAACGACCCGCGCAACACAGCTTGCACTCATCGACGGCGGAGGTGGTGCGGCCTGGAGGGCAAGTTGCAGGGAGAGAAACGAGACAAAATCGCGTTTATTTCCTCCAGATTTTGAACGGACCCTTCACCAGTGCGTGCAGCCTGGCCGACCGGCCTGCATGGCGACGTCTGCCGTCACCTTCAAGCTCCATACGATTTGCGGTCAAGATTTGGGGCACTGATTTTGACCGCTCATTGTGTTTGGCGGGCTGTCGCATTTGGTAAAACAATGAGCTTGTGTGCCGTAGCTCAGTTTGAACCGGTCTCCTGATTTTTGTTTTGACCGATGCGGCGATTCGCAACGGTTAGTAGTGTAAGAACTTGACACCCCAGCTAGCTTCTCTTAAATCCGTATTCATTATCCCATCGTGACCTTCTATCAAGGTCGCGATATGACCCTCGGATCTCGGAAGTTTAATTCAGGAAGATTTTCAGCAGTCAGGTTTCCATGTTCATCGGAGGAGACAATTTGAAAAATAATAACAAAAGATCGGTACCCAAGAATTTAACCATTTAAGGTCGCGTTAAGGCCTTGAAGCATCTAGAAGCCGGTTTAATACGGTGCACGATACTAAGGCTATCATATTTATCCAGTGTGGCAATTTGCAAGGCAATCAGGGTTATAATATGTGTGATATAGCTTAGCCTTCAGGGTCAGGGTATAACATTTGCATTTTCCTAATTTATTGGAAGGCAATTCACCCCATAAAGGTTTTGATATTTATCCAGTGTCATGCTCCACGAAACATTCAGTGACCATAGACCGGCACCTCGGAGTTTGACCCGTTCCCGAGGTCGAGCAGTGACCTTTAGAGGGCACACATTCGGGGGCGTGTTCTTCTCATCCTTGGCTTACTTGAGCATATAGTGTTTAAAACCTGTTGTGGCGAATGATGCTACAGATTTCGAAAATGTGGCTCTCTTGAGGAGCATCTGGTTGTACCAATCCAAACAGGAACATCTAGAAGCGTGTCAGAGGTTAACATTAGTCGATTAAATAACTTTTGCCCCAAGACGTCTCCAGTTTCGTAAAATTTGGGATGTGACGTTTTGTGATTCGTGCTGTGTGCTTACAACACTTCAAACGTTCTGGATGTCATTGTTCTCATAGCTGGTCATATGACTTATCCGAAGTTTCTAGCGGCCGATCTTGAAATGTCCTGCTAGCTTGACTGTTATGGCGGTTGCAGCTATGGGGACGCGGAACAAGGGAATGCGGTGGATGGGCTAAAACGAGCGCATGCATATATCTATCACCATGGCGACGATGGAAAATAGCCGTATCGGATCACACGGGTGCTATGTCCGTTTAGTGTGTAGGTAATCAAGTGTATGATCTTTTAAACTCCAAATGCATGTCAAGATCCAATGTCAAATGCATGTCATGATCCAAAACTCCATATGCATGTCAAGGAAGGCAGGCGCCCAGGCCGCAGGACCTGCTTTCATGGAATATCTGTACGCTCGCTGCCTGTTAGTGGCGATGATCTCTGGGAGTGTTGCTGAGAAGTCCAACAGAACAGCTTGGGCCTAATGACTGGGTGATGGGGACACCTTTTAACACCGCGCGGGTTATTTGTGCCGATTGAAGACAAAACGCTTTTCTGTAAACCCTTGCTTACACTTAGCAGGCGACTTACCTTAGCTACGTGTCTGGGTCCAGAAATAATGGCATGCATTATAGGATGGTGCCCAACAATCTGAATCTAGATTTTTCTTAGCCTCGATGTTCAGATTAATATTTCTGCATCTTCCCGTTACAAATCCTGTATCTGATGCGTCTTAAGAAAGCGTTATTGCAGCAAATAAATGACGAACCATTTTTTTGGTTGTTTAATTCACCACGAAATTTTTGAACGGATATATGTACGATCATGACGTACACTAAGCAGTACATGGCGCATGAGCCTTGGACTCCGTCATCTGCTCGTGACGATCCAGATCGACGGCAGGATTTGATGGCGAACGTCCAACGTGCCGCAATGCTCGGCACGGCCCGTCCTGCACTCTGACGTCAGCTGACCTAGTGCAGCTGCTGTCAGCGGACACAGGCTATTCCAGTCAAGGGCAGATAGTAAGTGCCTGAAGCGACCCGAGCCCACCCCGCCATCGTCGAGTGGATCTCAAGGTAGGCGTTCCCACCAACAGAGCAATCAGAAACGGCAATTTTACTTCAACCGTCAACCGCTTGTCTGCAATCAGAAGTCCCGAAGCTGCTGTTTCGCGATAGGACACATTTTCAGGCGCCACCACCTATGCCGTAACACGCTAATAGCGACATCTATAGGAGCTTACGAGCGCGCCTGGTGGCAGATGGTTTTTGTGAACTCTGCGTTGGTTCGAACTAAAGTTCCTTGCGACAGACGCTGTCAGTTGGGACCCAATGGCATTCATTTGTGGCACGGTGCGTTATTTGTGTAGTGGTGGTTTTGAATCAATCCGCCAGATAATAGGCAGGACATATGCAAGCAGCAGAACTTATCGACCGCTTAAAAAGCTGGAGAGATATTGCAAATAACCGTACCACCCCTCGCTGCCCGGGTGGGACAAATAAACGCTTAGGACAGGAAGCCGGATGTAAGATGCCGACCCTGAGCCGATTGCCGTTCTATGTTTTGTCTGTTAAACCTTTCCTTTCACTCATTGTGGGGATATAGACGCAGAAAACGTTTCAGTATACTGAGCTACGTACAGTGATCAAAAGATAATTCACTTATTGTCCAGACGAGCCTGATTAGTATCTGTTAATATGACAGACCAAGGCTGATTGCGGCTAACCGGTCTTCGGGTTGGTGGCTAGCCGACACGGGCCGCCGGCTAGCCGGCTAGCCGATTTTGTGATCACCTGGTGGCTAACGGCTAACGCAGGGTCTCAGAATCGGTTTTACTTTTGGGTGTGAAGTGGAAAATGCTTGCGTTGTCTTTTTCGAAGTCGTGAAATCATCGCAAATTGATCCCAGGATTCCCAGAACAACTTGGTTTTCAAAGGGCTGCCATGCCTCTGGAACCGTCAACGAATGATACCATTTATTTTAGGCAACTCCTATCCCTCTCCTCCAAAACCCAAATCAACGAGCAACTTCCCTCTCCATTTGGTTACGCACTTGGTACTGTGGGCTATCTCCCTTCCCTTTGTTTTGCTCGGTGGAGCGTAATACCCCCGAAATGGAACGTTGTTTTTTCCGTGAATTGAGCTAGAGGTGCGAAACAAAGACGGGCGTGTATCTCATCATCACAGAAAGCCAACAATATCCGGCTCCACGGCTTTCAAACATTAAAAAACCTCAAGCATGATTGCAAACATACCTAGCGCTTTCAACATCCTCTACCTCGTTACACCTCAGTAACGCTCTATCTTGCCCTCCACGCGTAACGTAACGCACTGACGGCCCTTCTGGGAATTCAACAACCTTCTGCCAGACAATGCAATTACTAGGGCATTGCTTAGATAGCAACTAGCTGCCACGCACAGCTAGACAAGCAAACGGTTATTTTTCCGTTGTTTGCCATTTTTCTATCAATCTAAAGATTTCCATCGTTAAATCTAATTTACTCAATGTAATGAAGCCTTAGTTGCATTGTTTTAAGAGCACTATAGCTTGAGTGTGCTTCTAAAACGGCAAAATAAAATCGAAGCAATGAAGTTAACGCCTGCATGCTTTGCAATCAAGGCCGAATGGTTAGCGAAGTGAATTTATTTATGTCAAATTCACGACTTAAATTCGTATGCATGTATTTTTGTACATAGCCAAAATGCAACTTCGTTCTCGGAAATTTGATACATTTTTTAAAGAAGCCTGATTGAAATATCATGTCTATACACTTGGGCGTGAGCCCTGACTCCACTAACTCATTATGACGTTCCCGGTCAACGGCAGAATCTTGCGGCAAAATTTAACGTGCCGCAAGCACTCAGCGCGGTCCATTCTGTTCCCTGATGTTACTCGATATTTTTGATATGGCCACTGACAACGACTGCAGTTAATCTCGGTCAGGGCAAATAGTGAGCAATTAAAGCGACTTGAGCCCACTCCGCCACGGGTAGGTGAATCTAACGGCGGCCTCTTTTACCAACTGAGTTGTCGACACGGGCTGATGATGCGGTGACGTAGGACGTGGGCGGAGATGACTCTGTAACCTGGAAACGAATTTTTAATACCCGGAAGATTACCCGAAAACCAAGCTTAAGTGGAGAAAAAATATTCCGTTGCATACGGGGCTGTACCTGCCCTTGGAACTTTCAATGGCTGCAGCTCCGTAATCCAAGCTCAAGTCCTTATGCACTGTGGTGACATGCTAGGCTGTCTGCGTTTTTTTATTTTACGAATAGTTCAATCGACGTGCCGGCGGGCACGTTTTAATGCTCGCATTTTTGCTACAGTTTCCGGCTTCAACAAAACATATCTTAAAGACATATTGACTGGGCAGAGTGATGATGATGCAGGGCTATTATCTGATGCAGGGCTACAACAGGCGCCTCGTTCGTATATCGTTCGCCGCTCACCGTTCACCGTCGCTGCCCCAAGTCACAGTGGCAGTACTTATCCACCACGCGCTCTACGCGAGCCTCGAAGCTCCCTAGTACACGTCCCAGGGCGCCGAACTCTGCCGGGTAGCTTTTGATGAGCACGCGCAACTCAGGACTGGCGGACACGACCACCTTCTCGGCCACCCAGCTCTCCTTGCCGGCTGGCCGCCAGCGGGTGAAGTCGCTCAGACACATCACCCCGCTGACGTTGCGTCCGTCCTCCATGGCGTCGCGGTCCATCGTCTCGATCTGCAAGGCCGTGCAGCCCACTGCGGCTGCCGCCACGCGCGCCGCCTCCTCCATGCGCAAGCGCAACGTCAGGCGCACGCGGCCGCAGGCGCCGGCGGCGCGCAGCAGCCAGGCGCAGCTGCGGCCTCGGCGCCGCGCCGCCGGTGGCGCCATCTGCTCAGCGGCGGCGGCGGACGTCGGCGCCGGCGCCAGCCGCACGGTGGCGCTGCAGCCGCCCAGCCGCGACGCGCGCCCGGCGCACTCGACCGGCTGGGCGCACGTGCAGTCGGGCAAGACGTGGCCCACACAGGTCGCGGACGTGTTGCAGCCCTCAACGTCTGCCGGGGGGCAGGCGTAGGCGCCAGCCTGCTGCAGGCGGAGCACGTCGTTGTAGCTGGGTCGCAGCCAGTTGACGCCGAGGCGGGACGTGGCCGGGAAGTGGCGGTCCGTCATTGTTGACAGGTTGTTGGTCGTGAGCCCGTACGGGTCGAGGTGCATAACTGACAGCGGGTCGTACCAGCCGCCGGCCGAGTCATTGGTGCAGTGTGCGCCGCCGCTTTCCGTATTCAGGAAGAGGAAGTCGCGCGTGCGCACGTTCTCGTGGCGCACGTGCAGCCTGAAGACGCGATCAGGTCGCGAGTGCTCGTGTGGCAGGCCGAGCACGTGGCCAAGCAGGTGGACGAGCACGCCGAGCGAGCAGCGCTCCGAAATGACCAGCCGGCTCCAGGGTCGCCAGCCGACCGTGGCGTAGCAGCCTTCGCCGACCGTTACGCGCAGAAGATGAGCCGCCTCCCACAGGGTGCTGGCCGGGGGCGACACGCTGCTGCCGGCCCCGCCGGGTAGTGGGGTAGAGCGGTGTTCCTTCGAGGCGAGTTCGGCGCTCTCGTCGTCCTGGGTCTCCCCGTCGGCTCCTGGAGTTGGAATACTTCGACGGTGTGACTGCGGTTGGGAGAAGTTTGCCATGTCCTCGGCCAGTTTGAACTTAATGCACCCAATGGATTGCTCCCAAATCTCCATTGCTGTTTGCAGGTCGCCGAAAAGCTCGAGGGGCCCTTCGTTTTCAAAGAAAAACGGCACTTCTCCACCAGGCCATGGCTCTGAGAAATTGGGCATCAGCCGTGCTGAATTTCCATAAACCGTGCCCCGTTTCGTGTACATCGCCTTCTGTTTCGCCAAGAGGATCATATCTGCTTCCCATAAACTTTCGGCTCGCTCTACTCCATTCCATCTATTCATCATGATTACGTCCGTGTCTGTGAAGCCATTTATTTTTAATAATCCATGATTTAGATATTGTAGCGCCTTATTATTGAAGTAAAGCTCATCAACATCTCTGTTTGGTGGATGCCAGTTTTCAACAGGAAGAACTTTTCTCTCTAAAAATTTGCGATTGCTTACGGTCTCTTTACCTAGTTTAATACCTTCGGCATGTGAAAATAGCTTCTCCTGGGGCATTCCTGAATCTCGACGGTCTTCATCCTGGAAGAGTTGTGCCGAACAGAAGATAACGCCTTTCAGGACCGCAACTATTATTAACAGCTTCATATTTTGTGACAGTTATCGCGTGTCATGCCCGCGGCCTTTACTTATTGTTTATTTTGCTCTCCAGAAGACATTGTGGCAGACCAGAAAATGTCCGGGGAGGTGAAAAAACCAAAGGCGACAAACTCATCTAGGCAATGATTGTGTTCGGGTTTATGCGTTGAATTTCATGTGTTGTGTCATTAGCTCGTGCAGTGTTGTCTGAGGTTTATCTGGATGTAGAAATTGTGCATTACACTTTTAGCCTTATACAGTGGTGACATTGTTATCAGTAGGACTGAAAGTTTGAAATGCTAAATGCGCCTGCAAGACCAGATGTAACGATTTTACACTCACCGAATCCTGACAAGCGTTTCCTTGTCGGCTGCGCTACCACGCCTAACGTCAGAACAGCGCACGGAACTGAGCTGACGCGGGCGCAAAAACAGTTATACGGGGCCAATACAAACGTTGTGCGCATTGTTTGCTTTGTTTGTGCCACTCAAATCACAGAAGGCATGACATTAATGGGCTCTCAGCTGGAAGAATATTCGTCAGTGTCATTCGTCGGTTGCAGTCTTGCTTCCTGAATGTTATTTCATCCGTGCCTTTTCATACACAACACTTAAGACTGCACATGAAATGCCGTTGTCACTGGGGCTTTACCACGCACTCAACTGCTGAGGTGTATGGCATCGCGCGCCTCTCGCCCTGGCAGAAGGGGAGGGGTGGGGGGCACCCTGGGGAATCGAACCTCGTACCTCTGGTTTTCCAGACGCACATGAAATGTGCGTTCACTTTTTCCTCCTTATCTCAGGCAACCTATGCCGTGTTGAGAGATGATCTCACCTCTTTCGCAGACGTTCCAGCCATATAGTGTTAAACAAATGGGCTACGAGTACAATTAGCATGTCGTTGGCCTTGTCAGTGTAATTCAATCAGCGTTTGACTTTGCGACTTGGGAAGATCTCATTCCGCCACAGTAATCGTCTGTGAAGAGTGGAGTATCACGCACATATCGTCAGGTGATAAGCTTCTCCAGCTGGGCCACAGCCAACACAAAATGTCTGATTGATTTGTAAGCTATCTAGGGCGATGTGAATGTTTTGCTGGTGTTATATCGGCGTCCTGCCTGCAGTGTTGGTAACGCAGTTGGCTTGCCTTCTATGGACCCAAAATATTTGCATCGCTCACTGCAGTTACGCTGCCTTCGATGCTGGTGCCCCCATGCAAACGAGGGCATTGGGCAGTGCTCCCGCGCTGACATGTTCAAATGGTCATACCATTCATTGTTACCACGTTTTCACCGAGCTCCACTTGCAGTAACAGCCCGGTCATTATCGCATTCGCGGCATGTGTCTGGCCTGTCTGGACTGGCGCCAAGCGAATATCTTACATAATTAAGACAATTAATAATCTGTCGCACACGACTCATCCATTGTGCTCGTGTTTGTTTTAATTTAGTGCTACTTGCTATTCTTGGCGGTTAATTTGCATCTCGCCAGCTCTTGTGGCCTTCCCAGGAATTTGTCGAAAGTTCACGCCAAGTTTCTAAATAAAACCAATTATCATAATACGGAATGCCTGGGTGGCGGGCTGGCGCCGCGTCGCATGCATTAGCGGCTCGCGCGCGCGCGCGCCGGCGCCGCCAGCTGGCGCCGGCGCGCGCCGGGCTGGCACGCCGGCCATGATAGATGGCTCTGCCGTCGGCGACGTCACGGCCGCCCGTCCGATCGACATTTAAAGGGCCGTAACGGCTAACCTCCGACCCCGGCTGACGCAAACGGCCGCCGTGGCCGGCAATCCTGCACAATGTTGACAGCGCGTGGGAAGGATGGCGCTCGGTTCCGGGAAGCTGAGGGCTATCGGCGGCTGTGGGCCGCCGCCGCCGGCCGTCCACGAATCTCGCCGGTCTGCACGACCTCCCGCCCCCGCAAGAGCGATGCCGTCTGGGGAGGACGCTGACGCAGACCAGCGCGTGAAGACGATGCGCTGGCGGTCTTCGGACGAACACGGCGATGCCGTGAGCGGCGACAGATCGGCGCCCCCGCAGCGTACACCGTCCGGCCTTGGTGCGCAACGACTGGCAGACACGTAAAGCCCGGCGAGTGGCCCAGTAAATAGGCCTGGCGCGGCCTTGCCATGACTGCAGGGCCGACTGATCGCGACCCCGTGGCCGGCCACTCTTCTCACAGCCGGCCTGGCTGTCGACCGCTGAGGTGCTGAGGCTGGAGATGGACGGAACGGCCTTGGGCTATTAGCATTTCCAGAAGCTCAATAAAAATATAAAATCAGCGGAAATAAAAGCAAAACTTTCGTTTTCACAATACTTGACATGGCGAAAACTGTCTGTCATTTCAGCCCCGATAGGCTTTACACGGCAATCGCCTCTTCTCATTTGATTCGCGTGTACATCACAATTCCGGCTCGTACATCATCGCAGGTACCACCGACTGCTGCTCGTACGTCACCGCAGGTACCACCGACTGCCGCTCGTACATCACTGCAGGTACCACCGACTGCTCGTCCTGGCACTACAATTGCCCCCGCTCGCTAGGTTCGGCGCACTGCCTCGCCCCAAACGTTCTGCCTTGCACAACTGACATACCTTTCTACTTACCTACCGGAAAAACCTACTGAGCTCAAGCATTCATTCCGTGGCCTGTGACGAGAATGAAGCGTATCGCACAAGAATGTGTGGTTATCATCTCGGGACGTGTCCCAGACCTCCCAAGATACCGCGGCTGGGGACAATACCGCGACATCGACGGCGAGGACCTATATCAGGCCACTTCGCCCGGTCCCGCTTTCGCCGGCCTCCGGTTCCACCATGTCGCACGAGTCTCGAGCCGCCCGGCTGCGTCAGAGGAGCGCGGTGCAGGCTAACCCTGACGGCACGAGTGCCTCTGATTATCGGCGCCATCAACATGCTGCGATCATGTCCGGGCTGCTATTATCTGCGCCATCTCGAAAAAATGGCGCGAGATCTGGTCGGATCATGTCGCGACAGACGGGCGTTTAGCGGTGACGCTACTCTGACCCGCACGTGACGAGCTCGTGAGAGAGAGGGAGACCCGGTCGTCACCGCCTTGACTGACGTCACAGCCTGCGCTGCCGGAGTAAAGGCCGCTTAAGGCGGGATCCGTATCCTGGATGCTGGCGGGCCTGTGACATCATGGGATTTTAAGGCTAGTGCTGTCCATTGGCTTAATCGTGTGGGCTCGGGGGCAGGACGACTCCTACGAGCCATGCCGGAGATCCGTGGGAATGGCCCAGAGTGCAGCGGTCACGACCCCGCGTTTACGGGGTGTGAATTCTAATGACGCTGGGCGCGAGTGACACGACACTTATTCAAGACTAGCCTAGTTTGACGGATGCGAATGTTTGTTCTGATACAAATACGGCAGCGCGTACTACCGGAAAACGCCACATACACACATCCGGGTTTCTTGGTGCTCCGCAAACAATCAGAGCATGAACCAGAGACCGCCCAGAGTCTGAGTCGGCTCAGGCTTCGTGATGTCACTCCGTCACTCACCGCCGCTATACGGAGGCTCAGCGGTGACCCGGAGTTATATGGACGCAGTGAAGGCCGCAGCCCAGCTGTCGTCTCAGCCCGGGTCATCCTCTCAGCGACACTTGGCCGTGTGGAGGTCAGCCCAGCTCCCGTCGCAGTCCCGCAGCTCGGGTCATCCTCCCACGGGCAGTTGGCCCGTGAGGAGACCAGCCCAGCTCCACTCGCTGCCCAAGTCATCCCACTTGGAGACAGTTGGCCCGTGTGGAGTTCTGTCCAGCTCCCGTCGCTACCCAGGTCATGCTCCCAGAGACAGTTGGCTCGTGTGGAGGTCGGCCCTAACTCTCGCCGCAGCTCGGGTCATCCCACCCGGAGACGGTGGGCGGAGTGGAGGTCGCCGCCAGCTCCCGGCGGCCCGGGCAGAGCCAGGCTCCGGCTGAATTATGCGGGTCGCCGGCTGCAGACTTTTTCGCCGCCTCTGCCAGGCCGGCCATGGGTGGCTGATTCTCCTCGCTCTCTCTCTCTCTCTCTCGTTCTTACCCTCTCTTTTCTCTCTAAGGTGTCTGCACCTTACCCTTACTCCTCCCCTCTCTCGCTCTGCATCCCTTTCCTCACACTCTCTCCCGCAAACTCTCCCTCGCTGTCTGGCTCTCTGGTCTGCAGACGCCGGCAGTTTTGTAATTTGTGGCGCGGAAGATCGGCGCTCCAGTGTCGGGCCCGGATTTTTGCTTTATGGAAATGATTGAATTCCATTAATTGACAGCGGCCCGGCGCCGTTCAGTCGGCCTGACCGTAATTGAGAGGCCAGCGGAGCGGTGGCCGGCGGCAGGTGACCTCTGTGGAGCGGCGGCCGGCGGCAGGTGACCTCTGTGGAGCGGCGGCCGGCGGCAGGTGACCTCTGCCGAGTGGCGGCCGGCGGCAGGTGACCTCTGTGGAGCGGTGGCCGGCGGCAGGTGGCCTCTGCGGAGCGGCGGCCGGTGGCAGGTGACCTCTGCGGAGCGACGGCCGGCAGCAGGTGACCTCTGGGGTGTGCCGCCCCGACCCGAGGCGCCGCTGGCCTGTTCCTAAGCGGCTGACGGCGCCTCTGAGCGTTATCTGACCAGGGCAGGGACGCCTGCCGGACGAGTCGGCAGTGATTCGAGTGGGCTCGTAGACACCATGCGCCATGCCGACGGTTCTGATGCGAGTGTTGCTTGCCGGACGCGTATCATGCCTGCATTCAAACCACATAACATCCGCATGCAAACACACGCCTACATACGACACCATTCAATGAAATGAAAGGTTATGGATTTGAAGTACTTGACTGCATTACAAACAATGCTGATATGCAATAGTATGGTGCATTTTTTACAAAATGCAACCCGTGCCAACTTTTACGCTGCGCATCGGCACTTTAAACCGCAACCAAAACACTAAGAGTGAGCATCATCTTTGCAGATGTGTGCGATATTCTTCTAAGCATCTATTTCCAGTTACGAGCCAGCTGCCACGGCAGTAGAACCGCGCCGGACCTAGCTCCGCGCAGCGCGGGTGACTCTCGGAGTACCCCCGACAGCCGTCATCGAAGGAGAGCAGGCGCCGACTATCAGCGGCGCACTGGGAGGTTCGCACGGAGTCAGGACCTCCCTGCGCCTAGCACGGGAGCTTTTCCACGAAAACGCTTGGCAACCCAGCCAGCAATGTACGCGAGGCAGCTGGTATATCCGCCCATTAAGCCGCACTTAGCCGGCACTCATGCTACTCTTATTTGCACGCAGCGTTGTACCCAAGCTGCTGCCATTGGGGTTTTGTTGCTGTCAGTGTGCCCGCAAATGCCGCGGAGTCAGTCGTACAGCTCAATTGGAGGTGGCGGTCGCCTATGCCGTGCCTTCCAGCGCTAATGCGCCATGTCGAAGCTCGCTC